TCCACTGGTGACGCTCATGAATTCCATAGGATTGTCACTGGTGTTGATGTCCAATTTGACATCTCTTCGCCAGCACATGACGAATCCACTGCCAAAGCCTGTCACCACATACGGGTCACGCGAGCCCTTGAGGCGTAGATGAACATCGCCATCTTCCTTCCAGACCACCCGGATCCGGGAGTGGAAGCTGAGTCGAATCTTATCCCAGAAGCCAACCCGTTCAGAAGGATCAATCTCAGGCTTGGTGAAGCCCTCGATGATCTTCATCATATCTTGAATGACAGGCTGGTATGAAACACCCCATGAGATGCTTGTCGGCAAGCTTGTATTGATCTCAATGACGGGGTCCGAGTAAGTCTTGACTGGAGTGACGGAACGCCAGACAGGGATCTTGTACGAGTCCCGAGGAGCTCCGTCCGCTCCTTCAGATGCAGGCACAAGTTCAACTTCCACCTGTCTTGCGGATTCATGGTCACGCCATTCTTCGGCAATGACAAAGTTCGTCCGCAGGGACCAACTGGGAAGTCTCGGCGACTGTCCCGGGCGTAAGGCTGGAATGTGCAACAGGTCTAGAGGATAATCTCGCAAATTAACACGAGCCTCGCCCATTTCCAGATTAAAGCTCATTGGAATAAGCAGGCCGTACTGCATGGACATGGGCATTCCCTTTCCGATTCGGTTGATAAAGGCCGGGAACTCATCTAATGCGAAGGACGGCTTGTCGATGACAAGATTGACATCACTAATCAGGGCTGACATCAAGCCAGGTCGGTTTGGAAGGGCAAGAATAGTCTCAGTCTCCTTAATATCGGCAGGAGGCTCATCTGCGCCGCAGAAAAGGTTCCTGACTTCTTTGATAGAAGTTCCCTGAAACTTGAGCGCTGCGTCAATCTTTTCTTTCCAGGCCTGAGCATTGTATTGCTGCAGTCGGCCCCAGGCAGCATCCGTGGAGACTTTTTGTTCCGATGAAAGACAAGTCGCACCCTCGGTGTCGTAACGATATTTCCGACCTCTTCCACGCTCCTGGGTTCCGGGCCTGCGTCGCGGTTCGGCGCTTCTGCTCCGCCTGGTATCTTGGCTGGTTCGCTCACTGCGTAGGGTTCTGCTGCTTGACTTGGCTCGCAACCGGGATGTGTTGCGCCGCTGATCAGTCTCCCTGACCTTTTGGGCTTTCAAGTTGAATGCATCCGCCCGGGCTAGCCGTTGAGCCTGCTCAATTAGACCGACCCGGTAGATGCAGCCCAGTTTCCATTCAAAGCCGTCATCTTCCAGCTCAAACAGTAGTGCTTTACTTCGTACAGAGATTCTTGGTACCTTTTTCGGTCCTTCTGGTTCTCTCACGGAGACAAAGTCTCTACAGCGATTCTTGAAGCGATGGTGCAATTGTTTGAAGGCCTTGGATGTGTTGATCAAGTTATCGAAAATGCGGTGCATGACCATGTGATGAGGCACGCCCAGGCGGATGAAGTCCGTCCACAAATCGATAGACTTTTCTTCGACCAGGGTGTTACCATGCTTCATTTTCTTGGTGCGGAAGTCCAGTCTGACATTGTTCATACTGCCAATTCGTGTCCAGATGCCCTTGAGCTTGGGGGCCTCTGCATGCAAGCGAACGAGATTGGCTTTGATATAGGGGGTTGAAAGACGTTGAGAAGCACCCGCAAGTCCATATATCTGGATCATCATTGGCGGATCATTTGGCAGGTTTGCCTTGAGCTGTACAACTGTGGCCTTGATGTCATAAGTGACCAGTTCCTTTCTTGGAGACCATTTATGAGCTGGAGGAGGTGGCATAGATATACTGGCATGTCCCTTCGGTTTGACTTGAGTTGGGTCTGCATACTTGTCTGGAAGAGGCGTGAGTACATCTTGGATGACCGAAACTGCAACGCCAAGACAGTAGAACCGGTACAATGAGTATTGCAGGTAGATGCCCTTGAAGACAGATGTGAGGTGCAGAACCGGTCCGAGACGGTCACTGCTTGTACTCATGGCAATCTCAAATCGAGGCAAGGAGAAGAACGGCTCAGGTTCCAGATAGTCTTCCGATTCAATGACGAAGCCATCGAATCCGCGAGCGTGGATCGCCAGACGTCGGCCATCCGTAGCACCACGTTGAGTGCTCTTAGGAGGTGAGGTAGGCGGGAATCGAAAGGGGGACTCATCGCCGATAGTGGAATGACTTGGTGTGCGTCGTCTGGAGATGCTTCCGACATTCGACTCGATTTTTTGGGCTTTGTAGTCCGCAGTCCATGATTGTAATTGCAAAGAAACACCGCGAGAGATATCAGAAACGGTACTGTCCACACCTGCAATCTCCACGCTAAACCCTGTGGCTTCAAACTGGAACTGGAGCAGCCAAGGAGGCACACGTCTCAAAGGGCTTACTTTTCGTTCGTTTGCTGGCATTGGGACTCTTTTTGAAGTTTGCATCTGGGTTATGAACTGCTGCAAAACTTCGCGGATGCCACGGTTCACTTCTCCGTCGATCATGTGTACTGAACATTCGTTCAGGCTTCCTGAGGCAATAACACAGACCTCGGGGGTAGCGTTCAGATGAGCCTTGAACTCCATGTTCTCATTTGTGAGTAGATTGTGTTTGTTGCCCGCCGGGGTCTGGTAATAGAACTTATGGGAGGCAACTCGGTAGACGGAAGAAAGGGAGTAATGAGCACCACCTTCGGAGGAATGAGAGGACTCGATATCGAGTGAAATAGAGGATATGGAGGAAATAAGGAGATTGTAGTCATCGGGAATGCCAGACTCTTTTTCAATCGGCAAAACGAACCGCACCACAGGCTCGTGAACGGATAATTTGATGCTTGCCTTAGGGAGCAACCGAGAGATCAAATGATGGCTGTCTCGCTTCTTCCCTCGGGGAGATGACGCTCGGCCCTGGGCCAGCTTCAGAAGCCTGGAAGCGTGCTTTGGCTGGAGGTCGATGGAGGGTGAGGTGACGACCAAGTTTGCGAAGAGGACATTCGTGTTCCGCTCTTCAGCGTTCTCGTCGTCCATGGCGCTGACTGTCTTGGAGGGCAGTGTAGTTTTGATGGTTGTCGTAGCCATGGGGATGTATAGAATGTTATCCGTCTCGCCCGACTCGTCGTCTAAGCTGACAGAGAGAGAGATTGCAGCAAGAAGAGCTTGATGGGCGACATCATTTCGCTGGAAATACATGCGATGTTCTGGGCTCTTTTGGTCCATCCGATGAAGATCGATTCCAAGCTCGTGGGACACCACATTCAGATAAACCGGATGCTGTCCTGCAGACAGAGACTGGATGCTTTGTGAAACTCGGAAGAAACTCAGAGCGATCTGAATCTCTTGAATACCACGCAGTAGAGAGCTTGCAAACTCTTTGGAATCTGCCACAGTCTGAACAATGGAATCATCCCGGCTGCCAGGCTTGTCAAGTTCCTCCACAAAGTCGGCAAATGACATCTCATCCTCGGTTTCCACGTTTGCAGGTCCTTTTTCGGATTTCTGGGTCGGTTTGATGCGTCGTAGCATGGTGCGAAGATCGTCATATGGCACATGCATCCGTCCAATCTTCAAGGCCACAGACGCATCCCTGAGCCCGTCCAGATCCTTGTGGAGAAGACCATGGAGGTTGACGCCTACATTGTCGAACACTTCAATTGGCTCTCGGCCGTCAACATTGAGCAACACATTCTGCACGTTCATTATCCATTCGGCCGGGCGTTGTTCTCGTGACATATCCTTCTTGCGACGAAATAACTTGCCCCGTTCCACCATCTTACTCCGAGTGTCGACCGAGAGTGAAAGCGATCCCACCTGGATCTGGCCAGCTTCGACGAAATGCACGGCTGTATTGATAGCAGTCAAGTCCACCAGGGCTAGCCAATTGATTTGCCGGTGCAGCCGCTTCAGGCGTTCCTTAATCCGCGTCAAGGTCCTCCAAGTTTTGCTTCTTCCGCTTGGCTCACTCGGTTCAGGCGTGGGATGGTCTTCGGACGGGCTTGAAGGGCCGGGGGATTCCAGAATTCCTTGTGACGCTTCGCTTTTTCCTTTCCCTAAGGTCGAAGGGTCCACCGTGACCTTCAAATCCGTCAATCGTATGCTGATCCATGTTGGCTGGGCGAATGACGGAGGGTGTAGCGATAATCCGAGGCCGCGAATTTCAATATGTAGACCTTCCTTTGGTGTGTATGCAATTCGACGTAGTGAGAAGTATCCAATCCGCTGAATGGAGATACCCGTCGCGATCCGAACGATAGCGAAGATGAAAAAGGACGAGAGGTAAAGGAGGAGGAACCCCACGAGGATCGAGGTTGGGTTAAAGAGGGTCATCGCGGGTCGCGACCAGCAGGGGGCTGATCTCAGACAGACACGTTCGAGTCGCACATTGAGGTTGAGGGTATTGCGGTCGAGTTCAATTGGATCGGTTTAGGTGGTCCGATCTCTGTCAGTCTGGGGGGGAATCACAGATTCCAGATTCCACAGCGACTTCATCAAAGTGTCAGTAAGAACTGCACACCAGGCAAAGGAGAGTGTTGAGGAATCATGCCGGGGAATACGGAGAAAGTGACAGGTGGGCTATCGGACAAGGCGGAACTGGCCAAAAAAGCGGAACACTAATTAATCCCCTCCAACCAGCTTATCGCTCTTGGCTTTGTTCTCTAGCTGTGGCTATTGATATCCCTGCTATTGCATCTCGCTTATAGTCTACATGTATTGAGGCTGATTACCTGCAAAACAATGGAGTTCTCCTTTTTAGTGGTTCAAGATCGACACGCGACCCAAGATTTCGCTCAGGGGAGATCATTTTGCCGTTTTTTATATTGAGCTTGGCACTCTTGATATCATACAAAATTATACAGTTCTTCTTAATTCCCTTATTTCCTTTCCAGCATGTTCAAGCTGACATGTACAATGCTTCAGGGTCCCGACCTTGGAAGGTTGTCTGTGCACTGCAGTTCACCCATTGCCGGAATAGTCGGTGGACAGTGTAACACAGGTGAGCTCGGATGATAGCAGGGTCAGTTTGCGGGGGAAGCAAGGACAGGGCGAGTCTTCTCCAGCTCTGCGATCTTGTCATCGAGCAAGGCAATCTCCGCCTCGACACTCAACAACTTCTCACCCAGCATACCCCGGTACTCTTCGTCGGAGAGAGTCCGTAGAGGAATCCACTTGGACTCCGCCATTCGTTGTACAAGGGGCTTGGAGGTATTGTTTGCATTGGCCATCTGCCAGGCGTCGACTCGGTTGAAGACACTCTGGCCACAGAACCCAAGTAGCGAGAAAATGACGGCGCCCGGAACCAGCCGGCCTCCTATAGGATTTGGTTAGAGATCTTGTTACAGGAGATGCTTCCAAAGCGGGAGACCGTACCCATAAGCTTCGTTACACTTCCGCCTGCGATGCCACCGCATAGAGCGCTGATGTAGGTGCGCTCCTTGGGTGAGGTTTTATCTTGGTAGTGAAGCTTGATGATATTGCTTCGAAGCCCTGCGTCAAAGGTTAGACAGCGATATCGAAAAAAAAAAACCCTGGTTTCACATACACCAGAAGGTTGAGCCGCATGCAAACCAATGGATGCCGCATGATAGTGAATGGATCATGGGGTTGGGTGATCTGATAACTCCTGCAGCTCCGCCATAGAGCAGACCAGCGCCTCCTATAATATACGTCAGCGCTTCGAGCTCCGATACTGGTTGTCCGGGACAGGCCAATACTAACCGCTCAGGGCTCCCACTTTGGCTGCAGACACGAGAGCATTGGAGTAGAAATCGCCATCTTGTTTGTTTTGGTCGCCCATGTTGCGATTAACTCGGGTGATGCATCAGAAATTCCTTTCGCTTGGAAATTCAATAATGCTAGGGACTATTTTCCATTATCGAAGCAGGAAGCCAAGATAGAAACTATCTGGCACGTGATACGTGTTGATTATGTAATGTTCGTTTTTCAGCCCTGGCGATATGAGAATCAAACAGTAATAATCAGACAAATATAGATAGATATGTTCAATAATTGGGGCATGATGTCTATTCTTCCCCAGTTTATCATGTGGTGGGGTTGAAGATCTCCCAGAATCCTGTTCCTGAGCAGATATATATCCCCACACTGCAGCAGGTGATCACTTGCAAGACTACCTACCCCACGATCATGGTTTTCCCTCAACTCTTCTTGATGAAGAGATCCTTTATTCCAACGTACTGACCCATTTATATAATGTCACTCCGTGTGAACTCAAACTGTACGATGAAGACTTCATTCGAGCATCTCAATAGAACATGATGCTGGGTTTTAAGCTGCCTGAAAGCCTATACGGCGTGCTATGTAAGGGTCTTAGATTGAAATGTACCTGCGATTTAAGTACCGATATCTTTCATCTTTGTGAGTTGCTAGCCCTGTTAATAAACCTGTTACAAGCCTATAATTGCAGCCCTAGTGTAGCAGTGAAACGACACGATCCAAGAGTCGGGCCTATGGTACCACTGAGTTCTGCAAGCGAGTACAGCAAGTTAAATGTAATTTCATGAGCATCTAGTGTAACAAGGGCCAACCAATTACGCCTGTCTTCGGACCTATATTGTCTCATACATGAGTATATTTTCAGCCGAGAACGTGGGGAGATAAGAGATGAACACTGAACTGTTAGACAAAAGACAAGTCCAAGACTGACAAGCCATTCCAAACAAGTATCAACAAATTCTACCTATTCGTCAGTGTTCACTTCGTGCTCAGAATACTCAAATGTGTATAGACCGATCTCGCGGCTCTGATTGGGCTAGCGTCATCACTAAAAATTTAGTAACCCGTCCACTTCCATGCCGCAGCCGACTTCCCCTCTACCAACTTTTCCACTGTGGGTTGAAGATATTGAACTCAACTTCTGATTTTTACTCTTGGTCTTTTACCAAGTCTCTTTGAATTTCCTCATTTCCATCCCTTCCTCTCTACCTTACCGCCTAAGAAGCGCGCACAAATCCCGCGCGTTTCTTTCTTTCCAACCGCAATCATGGGTTCGTTCCAGACCGTTGTTCTTTGGCTTCATGGGCGACTGCTAACTTAATATGTTTAGCTCCCAAAGCAAAGTCCCAGAAGATGTCCATGGGCGCCTTTTTGGCTGACGAAAGTGAGCGACCCGAAAATTCGAGGAAACGAGGTGGTGACTGACAGACATAGGCCTCGGCTCCTGGGCTGATGAGATGGAGGATATGCCCCTTCCATGTATGTTGCAGATCCCCCGTCATTGAACAAACGGAATCGTACTAACAATATGTGCAGCCAGTATGTAGTGCCGATATCGCATGCCTATACCTGTATTGGATAATCACTTACGATCTGAACAGCCCAGCCTTTGACCTCCACTTTCAACCGTCGCCCCGCCGGTGGTGACATGTTCGGCTCCGGTCCTGGTGGCTTTGGTATGACGCTCTCCGCACCGCATATGCAGGATGAGATCTGACAATGAATAGAGCGCGAGTCTCGTGGTGGATACGCCGTTCGAGAGCCTCTCGATCTTCCTACCCAACCTCCCTACACTTGCCACGTTGGCAACCTTTCCTTCGAAGCCACCGAGGCTGATATCTCCGATCTGTTCGCTGGATGTGGAGTGACAAATGTCCGTGTTGTGGAGGATAAGCTGACCAAGGCCCCCAAGGGCTTCGGATACGTCGAGTTCGAGACCGTTGAGGGTCTGCAGAAGGCTCTGGATCTGTCTGGTTCCAGCCTCCAGGGACGCTCCATCCGTACCAGTGTTGCCGAGCCTCGTAAGTTCTCAAGAAAGACCACGAAAGGCGGTCCAACTGACACGCTATGTAGCCAAGGAATCTCGCATGGAAGGACGTGACCTTGACTGGTCCCGCCGTGGCCCTCTCCCCGACCTGCCCCAGCGCCGTGCTCCCGAGCGATCCAGCTTCGGACGTGGCATGGATGCCGCCTCTGATGCCGGCAGCGACCGCGGTGGCCGTCGCAGCAACTTCGAGTCCGATGGAAAGCCTCGCGATTTCAACAACTGGGAGCGCAAGGGCCCCCTTTCGCCCCCTGCAGGCCCGCCCCGCGAGGGCCGCCCCACTAGCAACGATGGACCCAACTCCGGCTTCCGCAGGAACGAGGCCGCTTGGGGTGAGGGTCGCTCTCAGGATGAGGGCTCTCGTCCTCCCCGCCCCGAGCATGTCCGCCCGGAGCCCACACCCACTGCCGCCGATATGGACAACCAGTGGCGCGCCAGAATGCGCCCTGACGAAACTCCCAAGGAGCCCACCAGCCCCGCTTCTCCTTCCGCCACCCCTGCCGCTCCCGCTACCCGCCCCAAGCTGAACCTGCAGAAGCGCACAACCCCTGCCGAGGGCGCCGCCGCCTCCGCCTCCGCCGGTGACTCCAAGGCCAGCCCCTTCGGTGCCGCTCGCCCCATTGACACTGCCACCCGTGAGCGCCAGGTGGAGGAGAGACGCCAGCTTGCCATTCGTCAAAAGAAGGAGGCTGATGACAAGGTCAAGGCCGAGAAGGCCGAGAAGCAAAAGACCGCCAAGGAGGAGAAATCAACCACCGCTGTGGACCACAATGGCAAGGACGTTCTCGAGACCCCCAAGGGTGGGGGTAACTTTGAGATTCTCCGACGGAGCGGCGAGGACGAGAGCGGCATGAGCGCCGACAAGGAGCCAGAGGAGGCCGCGGCCCCCGCCGAAGCAGAGAAGGAGACCACCAACGGCAACTGGCGCGCCCCGGCCGGCGAGGCTGCCGCTGCTGGTGACGACGAGGGATGGAGCACGGTGACGGTGGGCAAGCAGCGCAACGCCCGCCGTGGACAGACTGGTCGTGGATTCGCATAGACCTATCGATACCCCGAAGCGACCGCCGATTCTTATGCTCAAGGCCACGCAGATGGATTAAACGAGTCTCTCCGGTGTTTTCACGCCAAAAGTGTCACCAGGGTAAGTCACTCATAATTGCCATCTGTCCCGCTCATACAAAGTGCGCGACGGTTGCTATTCTGTTTGAGCTTTGTTCTCTCCTTGTCCTTGTCCTTGTCCTTGCCCTTGCCACGTCTCTACTCCTTGGTTTCATGATCTCTTTTTCTTTTTCGTGGGCTAGATTTTCGATACACATCTAGTCCTCGCTATGATGATCTGGCAGTCCGAAAAGTTTCATTTTTTATGTCTTGTTCGCTATCTAGCTATTATTCCCATGCGTGATTCGTGTGATCTGCCCATGACCATTACAGCCGATGCGAAATGAATACATGTTCCATTCTTCTTTCATCTGTTTCCATTTTTTCTGTGTTTGTTTCGATTGACCACAGGTGGTCCTGTTTCTTTCTCGTCAACCTGTCTGCCGTGTCGGGTCTAGGAGTTGGGGTGTTGATGTTGCCCTTCTCTTTCGACCTTCTCGGCCACGCGATCAAGATGCCCTTGAGAGATGAGAGATGAGATAGTGATGAGCACAATGCTGACGACAATCAATTCCTGTTCTCTCTTTCTCTCGACTGTCTTAATCGATAGATTGGATTTTGCATCTCCAGTTGTTTCTTTACGGTCATGTTTGCTCCTCGCTCCCCTTCCATCATAGAATGAAATGTAGTCTTCGTTGACAGTCTTTTTCTTCTGTAACGTAAGGTCGAGACTGACATTGCCTCAAAGTAGGGCTGAACAGTTTCACTGAAATTTGAGACTCACCATACTTCCGATGTGGTTAGAGTTGGGTCTAAATTTAGCGATATTACGGAGTATATTGAAGTCAATATATTGAAGTCGGGTTCGGAGTCAAGATCCACCAACGTCCATGTATACGCACATGTATAGGATACATTTAATAGTGAGAGAGAATATAATGACATGCATGGCATACGCAATAAATGCAGATCACCAGCCAAATGAAACAATGAAATTATCCTTGAAACAGGCACTGTGATGCGATTGGCCCAGCCGAAATAGAGTGGCCGGTATGGAGTTGGCCCCTTCAAAGGACATTCCTAGTCTCAGTGTCCAAGCCAAGGCTATTCACTCCTTCATATTCAGCTGGATAGTATCTAGTTTTCTCGTCACTCTTGACTTCTTAACCGTTGTTCGCTTTCCCCACTCGTTACCCTAAACCTTACCCTGATCCCGGGGTAAGACCCATGTCATGTCGGCTACGACCACTTCCATGCTCACGACCACCACACTTGTTGGAACTATGAAGGGTGTCGCTGTATCTGAGAAGCAATGTCCCATGTGCTGGGGTGAAGGACTTCATGATTCTGGGGCTCAGGATCGAATCCACGAGTTAGAGGGGCAGCTGCATATGTTGACAGCTCGCGCTTCGGCGACAGGTAAGCAGTGTGATCCCTCTTTAAAGAGCCGCAGGGTCTGCCCTGAAGAGTCTACTCTGCAGCATGCGACAAAAAAGAATACCCTTTCTATACTTCCCCTACAAGAAGAACACAACACTCCTTTCTACCCTTCTCTTTTCACCTCACCACGTCACCCAGAACAAACCAACTAACCTCCGCGCCCGACAGCAACGAAACTCACCGAATACGAAGACGAACTCCGACGACTACGCGCACAATCACAAGCACAAAACTACACAACACCACGCAGCAGCGCCTCCCTCCCACCATCAACCTCAACCTCAAACTCCACACCGCAAGATCAACCCCGACCAACAACCTCCCCAGAAACATCAACAACGACAGCAACCTACCACAGCCGCCTAGCAACCCTAACCTCACTCCTCCCCTACCGCCGCAGCAGCGCAACCCCAACAAGCACAAGCACAACAGCCTCAGCGGCAACACCACCACCACCAACCTCAACCTCAGTCCCACCCCCAGCCACACCAACGCTCCCGCACCATCCCAACCACGCCCACCCCGCACAAATCTCCGCCTCCCCAGCTAGCAGCGACAACACCTCCGAACTCCAAGACGCCCTAGAACGCGAACAAGGGCTGCGCAAAGCGGCCGAAAGCCAATTGTCGCAGGCGAGTACCGAGCTGGAGGAGTTGACCGTTCAACTGTTTAGTCAGGCGAATGAGATGGTTGCGCAGGAGCGCAAGGCGCGCGCGAAGCTTGAGGAGAGGGTTGCCGTGCTGGAGCGGAGGGATGTTGAGAAGAGGAGTAGGTTGGAGAGGTTGGAGAATGCTATGGCTCGAGTTGAGAGGTTGAGGGCCTTGGTTAATCAGCAGTAGGAGACCTGATATTTGGACTGGTTCTGGTTTGCCTTTGTTTTCTTATTGTTTGGTTGTTCTGTTCTGCTCTATTTTGTTTTTGGATTTTGTTCGTTACGACGATATGATTGGACTTTTTGGATGATGGATTGGATTACCCTGGCGTTTTTCTGGATTTGGGGATTTTGGATTTCCCCTGTTGGATTATTGGGTAGGTGTTTGATTCATGGTAGCATACTAATTAAGTGAACTTGAATAGTGTACCATATAATATAACTCCATTGGAAACGGAGTCTCCGCGTACCGAAGTAGAAAATTGCAATGACGTGAGGCTGAGGTTGGACCTTCCCCAAGTCTCCCAAAGTGGCTCAGAACATTCGAATGTTCCATTCCCCCACTTGCCGGACCCTTTAATCGACGGCATTTCTGCATAATTTCTGAATTGACTCTCTTTTATATCCCCCTAGTCTATATCTATTCTCTCCTATCTACAATAATCATGTCAACCGGCGTGGCTATCATCGGCAGCGGTACGTTCATCACATTCCCCACCTTGATACATGTATATACAGCACACCCGAACTAACACCTCGAATAGGCCTCTTCGCGAAAGAACAACACTTGGTATGATCAAACACCTTACATGAATTTCCACATATGTACAGTCCATGGATATGGCTAACGCCCACTGCAGCCAGCCGTCCAAGCAGCGGAACATTTCTCCCTGAAGGCCATCTACTCTCGATCTCTGAAATCGGCCCAGGACCTCGCAAGTGGCGTATCCGGCGTGGACCTCTACTCTGAGGATTCAGGCGCGGATAAGTCTTATGATGACCTTCTAGCTCGGTCTGATATCGGCGCTGTGATTATTGCGTACATACGCCCTCCCCCCGCTCCATCCTCAACATTCTACTCTATTCACTAGAAGGAACTTTAAGTTGCAAGTTAAAGTCAAGCTAACACAATCCAGTCTTCCAATCCTAGTTCAACCAGCCTTCATCCGCAAAGCCCTGCTTGCAGGGAAGCATGTCTTATCCGAGAAGCCCATCGCGAAGGATATCGCCACGGCGCAGGAGCTTTTGCAGTGGTATCGGACGAATATCGATACGGCCAAGGTCTTCTGGGCTGTTGGTGAGAACTTCCGCTATCTGACTAAGTTTATCTTTGCGGCTGAGCAGGTGCGGGCTTTGGGGAAGGTTTTGAACTTTAGGGTTAATGTTCATAACCTTGTTACGGCCGATAACAAGTACTACAGTATGTATTTCTATTCCTATTTCCCGAGCCAGAGATGGCGAGAGTTCATGGGAGATGATTATACTGATATTGCCATGTGATAGAAACTGCCTGGCGTAAGACTCCTGGGTACCAGGGTGGATTCCTCTTGGATGGAGGCGTGCACATGGTTGCTGGTCTACGTCTGATCCTGGGATCTGATGTGCATATCAAAACTCTGTCAGCGCACTCGCAGTTGCAGCAGGCTCATCTCCCTCCGGTTGACACCGTAGATGCCGTTGTTAAGACTGACACTGGTGCTACGGGTGTTGTTTCCCTGTCTTGGGGATCAACGTTTAGTGACCAAGTGTTTGAGTTCGCTTGTGAGAAGGGTGTTGTGACTTTGAATTTTGATGATGTTACTGTCAATGGTGTTCTGAACACTATTGAGTTTGATGGTAGAGGCGTCGCCCCTGAGGTGGCGGAGTTTGCGACTTCCATCATCAATGGGAAGCCTGCCAGCCGACAGTCGCCCCAAGAGGCGTTGGCTGACCTTGAGCTTTTGGAGCAGATGTTGCAGAGTGGTGAGAAAGATGGAGAGAAGGTTCAGTTGAATTTGCAGTAAAGAGTGTATAGACTATCTTCAACTATGAACATAACAACTTCAACTCGACATGAGACTCAATGTATAGAAAATGCGCTAACCCGATATAAAATCCCAAAGAGGAGTTAGGGCTAGGGCGCAGCCGTACACACTGCCCTACGCTGACCTAAGCCACCGCTTCGCTTAGCTCGCCCAAAGCGCACTAGTGTGGGTCTCCCACTCTGCGCCGGAGAACCTGAGAGAGAAGTTTTCGAGATTGAACTCCGACACGACAACTCTCGAACGCCCGGCGAGACCCTGAAATACCGACAAGGTGAGTTTTTGATCGCCGATTCTTTGTCGTCTCAGTCACTAATTTCTTTCCAGATGGTCGCCGCTAAGAAGCACATTCCTATCGTGAAGAAGCGTATGTCGCTCTCCCTCTACATCCCGATCCCGTCGCCCTTCGATCATCGATTACATGGAGATTTCAACAACCTGGAAAAACGAATCACTGCTTGGAGAATTGTTTGGAAAGAATCAATATGTTATTGAGATCGACGGGCGACATTTGAAAATTCGAAAACATCGAAGCCAAGACCCGACTTGAAGGGAACCTCTGCAGAGTCAGAGACTTTCGCGCCCGGGTTTTGGTTCTGCACAACGCATCACCGATCAAATTTACGAACTAGAATGGAGGACTGACATTGATCGCAATAGGCACCAACCGCTTCAACCGTCACCAGTCTGACCGGTTCATGCGTGTCGGGTAAGCTCTACATTCACACCAGCAACAGCGAATCAAAGCTAATATCGTTGTATAGCGCTTCGTGGCGCAAGCCCCAGGGTATTGATAATGCCCAGCGTCGTCGCTTCAAGGGCCAGCAGGCCATGCCCTCCATCGGTTACGGATCCAACAAGAAGACCCGCCACATGATGCCCTCCGGCCACAAGGCTTTCCTCGTCCACAACACCAAGGACGTTGAGCTCCTCCTCATGCACAACCGCACCTTCGCTGCCGAGTACGTTCCGCCCGATACATATACCCAATTGGTGGCTACAGTTGACTAACAACCAACAGGATCGGTCACGCCGTCTCTTCCCGCAAGCGTGTTGACATTATTGAGAAGGCCAAGGCTCTCGGTGTCAAGGTCACCAACGCCAAGGGCCGTGTCACCACCGAGGCTTAAATGCAACCAAAAGTTCATTTATGTTAGGTGTCGAGGGTCGGGGGTTTTTGATCGGTGCTATTATCTCCGGCGATTACGAAATTTAAGGATTGTGGGCATGTCCTCGGGCTTGGTCATAGTGCCGGGCGCTTAAACAGCGAGAGATTGTTCTCTGAAATGACAACAAAAATTGCCAAAACATCCGGTTTATCATATTCCAGGAATTAGGTGTGGCAGATTGTAGTCTGATCTGTTCAACATTGTACGCGTAGAGGGGATGAACCCGTCAAGTGAACCCTGGTTTAGCCCTAAATGTCCCCTGATATCGGTCCCAAGATCACCGATGTCCCCTAGCCATCAGTTATCTTCCATAGTGTCTCATCCTGACCGTGGAAGTGATCAGCCAAAGTGAAACATCTGGGACTTTGCAATATGAGGCGATCACTTTGCACACGTTTCAGATCGACAGACCCACCAGTGACGCTACGTGACACGGGCAGAGCGACTCCGATGCAGAGGACACAGCGCAGGTCGCAACACAGGATACAGTTGCCTTGGATTGCGACCGGTTGACAGGTCCAAGAGCCTTAGTGGTGCGACTAGCTGAAGTGGATGTCAGCCTAAGACAGCCCCCACGCGCCATGACTTAAAGACTCGAGGTCCCCTCATATCTCCAACTCCTAAACTCCAGGCAATGGGGGCCGACACTTTCCCTGTTTAGATTGATTGAATTGCTGTGCCTTTTCTTCTGTTCCTTGCATCTTTCGACCCTCCGCAATGCCTCTCCCAGCCCGATATGGTCGCTGGGGAATCCTAGTCCCGGTGGTCCTAATCCTCCTGATACTACACTTCATCCACGCAGACCTAGGGTCAAATGCCACGCAGGACGTGAACGAACCAGCCCTAGGTCTACAGATCGAAAGCAAAACCTCAAGCGAAGCAACCACAACCAAAACCTCCTCTTCACCGTCCGCAACAGACCATGTCCCAAGTACATGTCCACCACTACCAGGCATGGAAAACATCCTAGTAGTAATAAAAACTGGCATAACAGAAGCGCAAGACAAAGTCCCCGTCCACCTCCGCACCACCCTCCGCTGCATCCCACACAAAATCATAGTCTCAGACTACGAAGAAGAAATAGCCGGCGTGCGCACCTACGACGTCTTCGCCAACGTCTCCGACACCCTAAAACAATCCAACATCGACTTTGCACTATACAACCGGGCCCGCGCAGGAGGCCACACGGCCCTCACGTCGCAAGACCACCAAAAAGTAGCCAACGGCCCGTCCGGAATGAGCGATAATCCAGGCTGGAAGCTTGACAAGTGGAAATTCCTACCGATGATCCACACAGCGCGCCACGCGCGCCCCGATGCGTCCTGGTTCGTCTTCCTCGAAGCGGATACGTATCCCATCTGGTCGAATTTGCTCGCCTGGCTTGCTCAGTTTGATTCGAGTGACAAGTTGTATCTGGGTAATCAGATGCAGATTGGGCCGAATCTTTTTGCGCATGGTGGGTCTGGATTTGTGCTTTCGCATGACGCTATTCATGCTGCGGCTGATTATCATACTGCTCATGTTGGTGAGTGGGATGAGATCACTGATCGCGAGTGGGCGGGTGATTGTGTGCTTGGCATGTTGCTTGCCAAGGTTGGGGTTGGGCTTACTTGGTCTTGGCCTAGGGTTACGACTCAGTCGGTTTGGGAGCAGGATATGCTTAGAGATGCATTTGGGGTTATGCCTTGGTGTCATGCGCCTTTTACTTTTCATCATATGACTCCCGCGGATGTGGATCGGGTTTGGGGGTTTGAGCAGATGTGGTTTGCTGCGGTTAGTATTACTTTGGATGAGCTATTGGATGATACTGGGGTGGTTCTAACATTCTCACAGACGAACTCGACGCAAATAACATACGCTGAGATCTTTGGCAATCTCATCCGTCCAACCTTGGCCGATCACTTGGATAACTGGGATAATCTCGCCATGGACGGTGATAACCACGAGGATTACAAGGGTCCCAAGACCCCTGCTTCTCTCCCCGACTGTGCCGACTACTGCGCTGCAGACCCGGAGTGTATCCAGTACCGTCTCACCGCAGACTCCCGCTGCACAACATCCAAAACTGTCCTGCGCGGCAAACCTGCACCCGGCACGAAGTCAGGCACGATGTTGTGGCGGGTAGATGCAGCAGTGAAGCGCATGGGACAGTGTTCGGAAATACTATAAGTTGAAATTGGTGATTCATGGCTGCTGGAGTTTCTCTCATTGTCCACCCATGGATAACATGAGTATATATAAGGTACATGGCGTTGGGATAGCGATCAGGCGCTTCATTCGGGATTTACATTAAGATCAACCTTTTGGATATATACAGGCGTACATACAGCAACGGAATGTCCAAACCAAGGGCAAAAATACCCATACATTTAACTCCACCGTTCGAGCCATTCACTTCTGCCCTCTCCAACCAACCACCCCAAAAACCCACCTTAAAGGCCTTCTCTTCCTCTTTTCGTAGCGCAACATCCTCGCCAAATCCTCAAACCCAAACCACTTCGCTAGGTCCACAGCATCCCGTCCCTGTGAATCTCGATGCAGAACTGACACTCCGGCCTCAACAAGCTTCTTCGCTGTAGACCAGTGACCCATACTAGCAGCCAGACATAGCGCATCACGTCTATTAATATCACAAGCATGTATGCATGCGCCAGCATTGAGCAGCAGGACTAGAGCTTTGTCCGCGCCTACTCGGGCTGTTTCTAAAAAAACCGTTCGGCCGTCTATATCGCGTTGTTGGAGATTGGGAGTGGCTTGCAGGAGTGTTTTTAAGATTTCGATTCCTCTCCCTCTTGCCGCGGATGTGAATTTCCGTACGTTGTCCCTGTCCTCGACTTGGTAGTTTTCGTTTTCATTTCCATCGAGGACGGGCATTGGATCTGCGCCTGCGCTGATCAAAACCTCTGATGGGGATTCAATGCTAAAGCGGACAGCGTAAAAGAGCGGTGTCCATCTTTTCCGACCGGCTGTTGCGTTGACGTCTGCGCCTGCGTTGATGAGGGTCCTGATTGTATCTGGGGGTTGGTGGGCGAGGATTGCTTCGTGGAGGGGTGTGAAGCCAATGATACTTCTGGGCGAGGGATCTGCGCTGGCTTTTAGAAAGATTTTGAGGATTTGGGATGAGATGGGGGATGGTGTGCGGCACGTTAGGTGGAGGGGTGTTTCGTCTCTGTTATCTCTGGGTTGGATATCTGCGCCGTTGTCGAGGAGATAGGATGTTATATTGAGGCTTTGGTTTGGGGTTGTGACTGCTTTGTGGAGGGCGGTTTGGCCGTCGTAGTTTGGTGTGTTTAGGATTTGGGGGTGCTGTTTTGGTAGAAGGGTTGCTAGGATGTAGAGGTTTGATGAGGCTAGGTGATGGAGGAGAGTGTTGCCGTTACTATCTTGCGTTTTGAGGAGTTTTGTTGGGAGGTTCAAGCTTAGATTGGGGATTGCTTGGAGGAGGTGGACGAGGTCTTCGAGGGGGAGGATGTTTGCTATTAAGAAGAGGATGTCGATTGGGATACGACATTGGGGATTCATTGTAGTTTGCAGAACTGAAGGCTACAGTGGACTTCTTTGCCCCCCCCGGTGGAAATGATGTTGCCCGACGTGCCCAGCCTAGTTTGAGCCTCATGGTGGGGGAGATATAGCAAATAAAGGACTGTTCGCCGTATAAGAATGATGATTGCCGGGTTATTGTTGGAATGGAGCCAATTATCAAAGCAGGACTCTATTTTAATAATTAGCAGAGCCAATGAACTAGCATTTTCCTAATTGCGATGTTTGATCTATAAGTTATATCATTATATCATGGCATGACACAAATACACCAAGTGTAAACGTATATATCATGCACCAAAACGCTATGCATATGAATTTTCCACGTCAAACCAATCATGCTCAAGGCAATGAAGAATCATCAAGACGCCCATACCAGAGATATGGACTATAGGGTCACTTATAAGCGGTTTGCAACAAGAAACCACGAATATCAACCCTCAATCTTAAGCCGTAGCCGCCTCCGCAGCCGCCTCTGCGGCCTGCTGCTGAACACGCGCTGCCTCGGCAATATTAACAAGCCCAACACCCTCAAGGAGAATGGACCCAGTATTGGCATCAGCAGCGTGATCCTCATCACCCAGTCCATCAGGAATAGTGCCATGCCCAATGACGACTTCTTCGCCTTCAGCGGCTGGAACCCAGTCCGGCACTTCGGTGGGTCCCTCACAGCCATGCGGAGGCATACCCCAGTGAGGCATCGGACTGCGGTATCCCCAGTCACCGTCTTTATCAGCGTACGCAACAGCGTGCAAGAAGATACCGAGTTCATGAGCACCAGGGTCTGAGTACAATTCCGTACCGCAGACGTCGCAGAGGTCTCCCGATAGCTTCTCGCCCTTGCGCTTGGCGTAGTCTTCAGACGCGGCGACTTGTTCGCGGTACATGATCTCGTTGACGAGGACCGGGTCTGTACCTGGTGGCACGTTTGGTGCTGCGGTCAAATGTGTGCGGTATGAGACTGTATCCGCGATTTCCGTCTTTCCCATAAGAGATAAGCGGGCAACGATTTCTTCGTCGCGCTCGTCAGTTGCTTCGGCTTTGCCAAGTCCCGGCCCGAAGACACGTCTGTTAGAGTAGATGGGGTCGTTTGAGATGGGGTGACCCATGAACTGGAGGTGGACTCGGATTTGATGGGTGCGGCCGGTAAGAGGGAAGCAGTGCACGATACTGTATCCTTCTGTCTCGCTCAAAAGGGATGTTGAAGGGGGCGTAGCGGCGCGCTCGCCATCTGGGGTGCTGTATCCCGATCCTGCGTCAGGAGGGTAGTAGGCCAGGCGGCGGAATTTGGTAGTAGCTTCCTTGCCCGTGGCCCGGACGCGGTTCAGGCCGAGCTTCGGGCTTACTTGCATGATGGGCTGGTCGCAGACTACCACGCCGTCCGGGAACTTGCCCTTGACACGCGCGACATACTCTTTTTGTACTGTGCGCGACTTGAGAGCGGTGGCCATCTTCTCCGCGGCTTGTGGGTCTTTTCCGATGAACATAATTCCGGAGGTCAGTCGGTCGAGACGGTTGCATGGGCGAGGTACGAAATTGGGGTCGCGATCTGCGCGCAGAATTTCTACTACCGAGTTGAAGTTGTATCGGCCGGCAGCGTGGACGGGAACACCGGCGGGCTTGTCAATGACAATGAGACCTTCATCTTCGTAGATGATTCCAATAGGGAGGCTTGTGACAGGAGGCTCGTGGCGGTGGGTGGTGTGGGAGATGACTTGGCCGTTTTTGATGATAGTGTCGGGGTAGGCTCTCACACCATTGACGGTGACAAGGCCTTTTTCAAGGGCGGATCTCTCGTAATTGTTAGTTCGCGATTCTCCTGTGTCAAACAATCAACGTACATAGTACTCGGGCTTCCGATCGCGAAACTCGGACGTGAAGATCTCGACCAACGTACGGCCGCGCCATCGCTCCTTGCAGTTGGTGTTGTAGGTATAGTGGTAAGGCTTGATGCGACGGAAGCCACCATCCATATAGTATGGCGCCTTCCAAGGATTGCAGGGAGTCACGACCACGTCCGGGCTCTTCTCCACGGGCTTGGTGGGGGGCACTTGGTCGACATTCATGAGGGCCATTGTGGGCTTTGGCGGGAGTTTGAGTTTGCCTTGCCGCAGCAGATAGGCCGTAATACGAGGTGAAGGAGCCAGGAGGGAGAATCGACACAAGATCGAACAGTAGAGAGTGAGCGCAGTTGAAGTCTGGGGAAAAGAAAAAAGTAAAATCTCTATCGCGTGTTATCAGGTACGCCCCACACTCAAGGAGATCCAAGACTCTGATTGGTTCATGCTTGTATACAGGCCATAGACTGCCCAAGTACGGAGTATAAGAATGACATTGTATAGATCTATAAGCCCGAAGCATACAATGAGTGGAGCGCAGTCATCGTCAACAAACGAACGAAATCCACATGTCCAACCCTGGAGATCTTCAACATCCTTACCTAATCACCGACATGCCGAGGTTCATCGCCTCCGTGAAAACGCGGAGATAACCTCATTCTCTAGAAGCTCCAAGATATTAAGAACATAGAGACACCCAATTTCCAACCACACAAATATCATTGAAAATATCCACAATGGCACCTCCAGAATACTCGGCCAAGAAACAGCGCAAGCGCAGCGACTATGGCTACCACCAAGTCCACCAAACGAGATGGTAAGCCCAACCATGAACACCCACTTCTAAACGCAATAGAAAATAGCCCTGACGCACCCCAGGTTCGACAACGACATGTATGCCCACCTCAACAACGCAGTCTACACCCACCTTTTCGACACAATCGCAAACACATACCTAATCGAACACTGCGGCATGGACCCCTTCAGCGTGAACAACCCAGCGCCAAAAGAAGCACAGCCACAACCAGGCCAGTCGTCAGTGATAGCAGCAGGCGCGGACCAAATCGGCCTAATAGTGTCCACACAAGCAGACTTCTTTGCATCCGTCCGCTTTCCGGATCTGCTAGAAGTCGGACTGCGCGTGAACAAGCTTAGCAAGTCGAGTGTGACGTGGGAAGTGGGGATCTTCAAGAAAGATGACGAAGAGGTTAAGATGGTTGGGACTTATACGCATGTTTTTGTGCTCAGGGAGACTATGCGCGTTGGGAAGGGGGGTATGGAGGGACGGGTTAGAGAGGGGCTGGAGAAATTGCTTGTTAATGAGGGGGCGAAGTTGTGAGGTAACATTGATGTATGTGGGAGCATGAATATGAGTAGACTTGTATATAGTCGGGTCTTATCGGCTGGAATAAGGTATTGGCTGCGCGCTCATTGGTTGCGAGAGTCAAAACATAAGACGACGCGGCAGAGGCCCTGGTCGATGATGCGGTGTGATATGATTACTAGGAATAGGAAAGATATGCGGTAATAAGACGTTTTGTCTTAATTCGTATTGATCATCATCTGAAAATGCAAGGCGCTGAACGGAGATATAAAAAAAAACGTGCGCCATGTTGATCATCTGAAACGCCTAGATGATCCAAAGTCTAATAACCTGAAATCTATGACATGAAAGTAGCATTAAAAAAACCCTCGGTATAACCCATAACCCGAACACATTAAAATCCAGCACAAACATAAAACCGAAACCGAGCACTTTTGAAGGTTATCATGAGCAAAGAGGACACGCTTGAACGCTTCGCAAGACCGAAACAACAGCGCTAGGAGGATATATGATGGAAGTTCCAATCACAATTGAATGGGTTGTCTAAGCAACCTCACAAAGAAAGAGCAATCGCTCAATCAAATTTGCCAGCAATGATACTGCTGCAGCGGGAGACATTGGCACTGGTAGGGGGGAAGCACCACGGTGCATAGTGTAGCCATCCTCATCTAGCCACCACTTCGGGTAAGGGCCAGGGATAAAACTGCCGTGGGCGTCCCAGCCGGCAACCCAGTGAACACCGTCGTCAAGAAGGAAGAATCGCAGCTTTTCCGAGCGCGCGCCCTTGTGCAGCGGTGCATCGAACCAACGGCAGCGCTCCTCCAATTCAGATTCAAACATGTAGCGGTGGAGGATACGACAGTAGACCAGCGCAGCTGGCTTTTTTTCGTCGTGTTCAGATCCGTCCCGGTGGACGAGATGCCATCCGCGACCCGGGAAGAACTTGTAGGTTCCGGGGACGGGAGATTGCCAGTGTTGTTCCTTGAGGGTGCTGTCGCGATCACCCTTTTGGAACCAGTAGATAGGGCAGAAGATGGTGCGCGCGCAGAGAAAGAGGTTGGGGGCCATTGTGAAGGGTAGTATCAAAGACCGAATAAGAGAGTATGCGCGTTGACTGGAGTGCCCGAAAGGCCGGGGGGAAAGTCCAAGATATAGAAACAGCGCTGAAATGCAGGGAATCCAGGAGCTGGAATGGGCTATAAGTCGACAGCCATGGTGACAAATTCAGAAAAAAAAATAGTTAAAACTCAAGGTTGAGATGGAAATTTGACGGGTCTTCCGTGTTCACAGAGGTTCGGTGAAGACCCCCTGAAGAGAGACAAAGGATGTGAGACGGCAAGTGCACTTGGCACGAGGTGGCCCGAGGCAAGGACTGGAAGATGTCCAGGTCAGATAGCACAAGCCAGAGTCTTTGTTATCGATGCGGTGAGAAAGGTTGAGCTGGAGTCGGTAAGCTTGCAGGGCAAGAGCTCAGAAAGGAGAAGGGTTGAAAGCGAATAGGATCGATGGGAGCTTGGACTGGAGTCGGCAACACACAGTGTTAAAGCTCAGCGCATGCTACAGCAGAAGCATTTAACTGGAGGAAAGTCACCATGGTGATATAGAGAAGTAGAAATAAGGAATGTGCGTGTTTGATGTATGGGGAATTAAAGAAAAAAAGTCAATCGCCAAGGAATCCACCTCACTAGTCCTCTTTGGGCAGCTCTAGACTTCTCAAACTCCACTCAGGCAGCCACGATGGCTGACATAACCGGCGTGACTTGCGAGATTTTCTCCTGCGGGACCAGCCGAGCCTTGGCACTTTGTATGGTTCGCGGGTTTTTCTCCTTTCGCACCTATTCTGGGCTGTTGTGGCTGATCCCTTCCTCTCACCGTCATAGTCTTCTCTCACATTCAAGGCCATGTTTCAGCGCCGGAAGGCGGTTTCCGTATCCTAGACCCCCTTTTGACCCAGTCGAGAGCCCTTGGCAGACCTTCCCGACGGGAAATTCCCGCCCACGTCAAGGCTGCAAAATTCTTTGTGGCGCAGTCATTCGCTGTGCCTCAGCCCTATGTTGTGTTGCGTCGCGGCGTTGGCCTAGCTTGCAAGGATTGGTTCCGAGTCTTCTTCTAGCCCTGGTGGCTCATGCACACTCGGAGTCATTTGAAACGATGTTTCCACGCGCGGATCGCCCGTGATGTATCAAGCCTCTCAATACAGCCGAAAGATGAGGTGATGCATGCTGCACGATTTCAAGCTTATCATCATTCCACCTGCCAATATCCTTGTCCCTGCAGAAATCGGGATTTCAATTGTCAACAAACCACAGTGGATTCTCGTAGCACCTGATCCGAAGACCCTGCACTTTCAAATGATGGTGGAGCAGATTGTTGCCACAGTCATTGTATGACGTTTAGCTCCAGACACGATGGAGCGCTAAACAATGAGCGTTTGAAAACTTAATACCGTGCTAACCCGTTTATGCAAGATATGCGACGCCAGGCTTGGCTGTGGAAGATGTAAGTTTTCCTCAGCCCCTCGAGCACCTCTGAGTCATCAGACGCATTTCAAATGCATCTAGATCATTCGGCTCTTAAACTTGTATTCTGGCTGTGTTTGCCATCGCAATTCAGGGCAGGGTCCAAGCTCTTGAAGCTCCATACTAGAAACCCCTTGCCGTCATTGATTGTAATTTTCCAGGTTTGATCTCTTCGCTGACGTAAGTTAAATCTTTGCTTTGAACCGTCCCGTATGCAATGCCGCAAGGTAAATGAGGAAAAATAAGATATCACAATTCACATTGCTTTTTACAGTCAAAAGCAAATATGTATATGCCTTTGTCTGAAGATAGTGCCCAAAGCTTGGCAAGCAAGCTATTTGTTGGGCAGTCATTTGGACACGTCTATTCCACACTTCCGGTAATTGAAGTCTTCAAGGCTAGGTATACATTCTGCCAGCCATTATTAGCCCGTCCAAGCTACCATTCATCCAGAGAAAGCATGCCCATCCTCTCGGCCAACACAGCCTTCAACCTGTCTTTATACTTAATCATCACGTTAGGATGTGGCACCCAAATAACCCTCAACCCTAGCAATGCTATCTTCAAAAACCAAAGATTCATTCGGTAAGAGTGGTTTATCGCCAGGATTAACCATCAAATTCAAAACCTGCAATGCGACCAGATTAATATCCGGTGCCGGCTTCCCCTGACCCTGTCGCACTCGTAAATCATCACCCCTCACGCGCCTATCAGAATGAAAAGTGTCAAGCAGTCACTTCGCACAAAGGCCTTGGAATCTTCAATTCGTAACTACGGCTCATAGAGCTGGATGCCAACGCCAGCTCAATCTTATCACCAGAAGATGCGCTACGCGCACAACTGAAATTCGACAGAAGCCTTCTGCGCCAGGTAGTGGCTCACATTCCGGGAAAAGCTTCCGTTCTTTCGATTCAGCAGCCCAATGATCACGCAAGATGGGCAATTTGGCCCAGTTATGTAATAGGTCGCCGTTTGATGAATCGGCTACGTCCATCATTTGAGCTTGGATTAATTGGGTCCGAGGTGGCTTTTCATATTTTTCTAGAAGTTTGTTCATGGATCGGCCGACCATTATTTTTCTAGGTTGATGCGAAATCCGTCTATGTCGAAGATGCAGGCGCGGATGACGGGGAAGCTGGCTTTTTTATATTTGAAGGTTCTCTTGTGTTAAATTGTTTGTAATTACTTTGGCTAGGGTGGGCATAGACATTAACTTGCTCCATTTCACCTGGATCCATGACTGCTAAGAGCCAAGGTTGATTTAGATTAATGGCTTCTTGGCTTATTTTAAGAAATCACTTTATGAACGTTAGCTTGTAACGTGACGTGGTTTGTGGCTATCGTCCAGTAACGCCACGAACTGAACTGACTGTGAAGCTTATGCTTTCAAAGAGAGAGAGAGAGAGAGACAATCCTGAGCTCTAGTAGATAATATTGTTATCGATATATGCAAAACTCAAGCTAGTTGATAAGATTATTGAGGTACATATGAATGGGTGACTTGACTAAGAAATATTCAATGCTTAAATCAAACATAGCCACTTCATTAATACCCACGAGTAGGTGCAAAGGAATGAATGGCGTATCTATTATAGTTTAAAACCACGAGGTCAACTTTGAAGTGCACATTCTGATTGGTTTAGCATATCCATCGTCATTCAAAACGGCGATATGAAAATGTTGATATAAGCTCTAAAGCTTAATTCAACTTAAAATTCTTAAATTTTAACCTCAAAATGTGTAACTTGAGTCAGCAACTTAATGTCGCCATTGCCAGGCATTGCTCCAATTGCCTTTACTCTATATAATTCATTCTATGCTAGAAATTTAGAACAAGGCCAGCAGGGACCGAAACATACCCGTGGAGGTGCAGACAAAGATGCACCCACCACCTCCACGGGTCAAATCTTGTCTCCAAATCCCGACGCTCGTATATCTCCAAGGAAACCACCGGAGAGATTAATAAGCCTCCATGATAATGTCTCCGTGATGGGGTTGCTCTACTGAGATCTTTAGACCTACACTCTTCGATGTTCCGGATGGCTCGGCTAGATGACAAATTATATACTTCATCATGACCCAATCAGAGCTTTGAAATGCAAGAGAACATAATCAATATTTAGCCTTAAAAGATCGATCTTTTCTCACGATATATAGGTGCTTATTTTTTTTCAGTCAATCGAAATTCGTCTCCTCTGTTGATCATGACCAGCCACAGAATTGGCGTCTTTCCTGCCTCGGGCGGCATTGGCGGTAGCACCGTCAAGTATCTCCTCCCTCGCCATCCAGCTGAAAACCTCGTCTTCATTGCTCGCAGCCCTGCCAAGTTAGAGTTTGCAGCAGCTACCGGAGCAACTGTCCGAAAGGCTGATTACAATACCAATGCGGATCTAGAACACGCCTTTCACGGTATCGACACCTTGTTCCTCATTTCGTATGCTTCGGTTGAAGTGGAGCACCGAGCTGAAGTGAGTAATTGTATTATTCCGATTCAATGATCAAACATCACTAAGCATCGAAGTGCAGCGTCACCGAGCTGCAATTGACCACGCCATCCGCGTCGGTGTAAAATACATCTTTTACGGATCTCTAGGATTCGCCGGTAGCGAAGACAGCAAAGAAACAGTAGCCCATGTGATGCGCCCCCATTTGATGACCGAGAAGTATCTCGAAGAGTGCGCCCAGCGGCACCCCGGGTTTTCATACACCATTGTGAGAGAGGGTCTCTACTCCGAATCGTACAACCTCTATACTGCCTTCTTCGATCCTCGCGACCCAGTTGATGAGATCAAGATTGCACATGATGGGTCTGGACCTGGTATTGCCTGGGTCAAGCGCGAGGAATTGGGAGAAGGCACCGCCGAGCTCTTGAGACGCTTTGCAGAGAACCCAGCGGAGTTTGAATTCCGCAAGAAGACGGTCCTTCTCTCTGGTACCAAGGTCTTGACTCTACAGGAGACTGTCGATATTCTGGCCAAGCTTGCGAAGAAGCCCGTGACAATTCTCCAGGTTTCCGATGAAGAGTTTGGAAAGCAACCTACGGTCAGCCCGAACTTTACCTACCAGGGTGTCGATTACGGTACAGCATGGGCTAGCTCTTTCGAAGCATTCCGCCGCGGAGAGGCTAGTGCTGCATCTCCACTCTTGCGTGAATTGCTTGGTCGTGAGCCGGAAGACTTTGAAACTACCATTTCCTCACTACTTTAGATTTGGTAGACATGCTTGAAGTCGATTGGAATAAACGGCTGAGCAGATACAAGCTTGCCGCAAAAAACATATAGAATTTTGCTTGTACTCATATGCAGTGCCTGCCTGTAGAATATAGCAAGTCTCTCTCTTGAGGCTAAATTTATGATTCACAAGTGAACCACATACCAGAAGTATGAATCACTGAGGTATACATGGAGTAACACCATCAACTATTTCCTGCAAAGGATGAGGCAACCACGATGTTAACATGTGGTGCAAGCTTTTTGTAAGGGTGGACATGCTCTGGTAGGTACCAGCCAGTAGAAGTTCCCCGATTAGGTAGGACTGACTGGGACCTGAGGACAAAAAGGAAGCTCGGCTTCGTGGTCATCTTGATGTCTTAAGAAGCTTGGATGGATATAATGGAAGTATAACTAGACAAGACGGTCTGTTGTGGATGCAAAATTACAGTTCACGGTGAGAGCCTCTCCCTTCTATAGTAAAAATTCCAGAGCCCGTTTCTACAGAGTAGGGACTTGCAAGAGCCAAATTCTGCACGAGTTTCACTGATAACTCCGCCCCAAAACTGCTATTTCTGAAGTAGATTGATTAGCAAGACAACGTTTTTAACTATATCCCTCAGTCGATCACCAGGTCGGCTAAGCTGCATATCCACAGTCAGTGGGAGTGCTCGGACTTCCAATCTTGGTTGGATTTGAAAAGCTAAGCCCAGAGGACCATATAAGCCCTCCCTAACTGATAATAATCCCAGCCATCAAGCCCTAGAGAAAGTTCTAGCAATCATTTGAGAATTGAAGCATAAAAGAAGAGACCTGTAGATTCAATTTTACAGCGTTCCCTTATAATCAACCACCAATCGGTATTCGCCAGGCCCTCGCCCATCTTCCTTTCTTCGACTTTCTTCGACTTTCATTAGACATACTGCCTTATACCATCACCGTCCTTTCTTCCCAATGAGCCGGACGCCGAGCATGACATCGTCTACTACGTATCGCATCATGTGCCTCTGATCGAGCGGCATTGGGAGAAATACGGTCCTGAAGCGGGCGAGTTTATGGGGGATGTGACCAAGCTCAGGAACAAGGAGGTGGCCTTCCTACTTTTTTCACCAATCTAGGCAGACAACGAGCCCACAGCCTGTAGAGTACGTACCGAGTCAAGGTATGTTCATAGTCCGACGTCCTGTTGATAGTACACTATTTGCTAACACCTACAGAAGCTGCACTGTCCGTAGGGTATACAGCTGGAATGAGGCAGGGAAATGGATTTGGGATTATTGAATAGCTTTTGGTAGTCTCATGTATAGTTATTGAAGTTAAAAGTATACAAAGCGTTGATTGAGATTTTTTTATATATATTCTTTCTGCTTCAACAATAAAAAATTGATTCAAACAACTATCCTATAATTCTGTTTGTCTTTATCTTAGACTTTAATCTCGCTGAGTAGTGGGATCCCAAGTAGAAGGTGAATACTCCTCAGTGTGTAGGAGCTTCATATCATCGTCATCCAGCTCAAAGTCAAACACATCCACATTCTCCTTGATACGATCAGGTGTAGTTGATTTTGGCAGTGGCACAAAGCCCTGTGAAAACGACCGATGTTAGCGCACACAAAAAAACTCCATGTGCTTGGGACTAACCTTCTGAAGGCTCCAGCGGATCAAAATCTGGGCGGGTGTCTTCATGTGTTTCTTGCTAATTGCGTGGAGAGCGGGTTCATTCATTCGAGTTCCCCTGGCAAGAGGGGAGTATGCCTCGACGACTGCTCCACGCTTGTGAAGCCAGTCGACCAAATCGGCACGCCCAAGCCAAGGATGGAGTTCGTATTGGCCAACTTCAATCTTACCACCTCCGCCACTTTGGATGAATGTTTCCAACTCTTCCAGGTGATGAATTCCAAAGTTCGAGACCCCAATCGAACGAGATTTTCCTGTTTTCTGCGCTTCCACCAAGGCACGCCAGGCGCCGAGGCGGCCTTTTCTGCCTCCGAACGGAGCATGAAGAAGGATCCTGTTCTAATTAGTCCACAATCAAACAATCACCATGTAGGTTCCCTTACAAATCAAAGTAATCAGTTTTGGCTTTCGCGAGGCTTCCTTCAATGGACTGCTTTGCTGCCTCATATCCGGTAGCTCTCGGTGAAACCTTTGTTGTCAAGAAAACATCGGAACGTTTGAGCCCCGCCTTCTCAATGGCACTGACACTTTCCCTCTCGTTTCCATACGCCGCTGCGGAATCGATCTGGAGGGCTTCAAGTTTAGCAGTCGGAACCTGGCACAAAGCACTTCAACCTTACATGGCGATACCCGGCCTTCAAAGCCTGGTCGGTAACATCTTCGGCGACCGCATCAGGTCTCAGTTTATCAGCAACTCAATCCAGTGTACCATAAATATATTTTCCCAACTCACACTTGGTAAAGCTGTGGGGTCATGTTAGCTCTTGTTCTCTTTGAAATCAATGGAAATATAACAACTCACCCCATATCCCAGCACGGGTATTTCATACCCCGAAAGGTTTCTCTTAATAGAGGCGAGACTGAAGGATTCCATCATGAGTTTAGGGGTCTGATGATTTCGAAAACGAGCTTGACATGAAAAGCGTCACGCTTACCGTTTTATATGCTCAGAAGCTAGGATGATTAATCATGACGACCTTATCCAATATCGATCTGATTGGTAGATATTCAGATTCTAAGGAAGTGCTTCGATGGCCAATCAAAATGTACTCGAAGTACCAACAGCCACTTTTCCCATAGTGACAACTAGGTATAATTCATGCATTTCCCACGAAAATTAGGTGCTGTATTTCCATGCCCTCCGTGGTAGCCCTATACAAAAGTTTGATACTTATCCCTCATGGTAGAAAGTCTTTTCTATTGGCTGAAGCTGGAGTACAAAGTGCAATAAACCGACCTAACACGCTAAAGTCAAAGACAATGACCAGCGTGCTCTTTTATTGGTCATTCATAGCTCCTATTTAGTATAAAAGACTACATCTTCTCAGCCCTTGTCACGGTCATATTTTCACCATGAGCCTCAGGCTCTTGGGCAGTCTCTATCCAGTCACAATAAGCAGCACGATGAGCCACCTTCGCGGCATCTCATACTTCATTCGGAGCTCATCCATCGGATTTTTGACCAAGGTTTTGTCTAAGCCACGGCTTCAGTGATCAAACGGCTCCAGAATTCTTCATAGTCTCTGGCATGCTGTAGAAATATAAACAAGTGAGTCTATCTTCCAAATGAAAAGCACAAATATGCGGCTCGGCCTTACCGTAAGTCGTTGTCGCAACTGCGGAGTTAGTTGTCAATCTAGGTGGGCCAGCAATTCAGTAGGTATCTTTGTCACTATACAAGGTCCATTTTCCATTGTCAAAAGGAAGATTCTGTTGAGTCAACCTTCTCGTTTCTCGGATCTTAGAGCCTTGTTGGCTCCTGAACATACGCGAATAGCTCGTTCATGCAGTGCTGAGAAGTTAAACATAACGTGGCGCGATCTTCACTCAAGCTCATCCTGATTGAGCCATCTTCCTCCTCTATACGAATACGGATCATACTAGACTAGCCTCTTTGGATGTTTAGTCAATGGGGAGACCGAGGTTTAACGCGCCCTTTGACCCTGATCTGCATTGCCGCGCCTGGCCGCTTTAGATATATCAACGAGCATTCTGGAGCCCATTCTACGACACTTTCTATTGGTTCCCCTGCTTTTTCTGTGATCTGCGATTGTCAGCTAGGAAAATATTCTGCTGAAAATGTAGGGGCTCCGCTCCAACATATGCATGATCTCCTTGCTGGTACTAAACAAAAGACCTCAGAATGTCTCATAGCAGTCAACGTCGTGAAAACAAGGGCCTAATTACTCTAAGTCTAATAAACAGAACGGGGCGAAGACCATCATAAATACAATTGTTAATCAAGGTGAAAATTGCAACTTGCATATATAAATAGTAACAATTGGCGGCAATATCTCCGCTTCGGATACTTAGTGCTCGGCTCCCGGGAGACCAAACTCCACACTACCACTGGAAGCGAGTCAAATCCACTCCATTTTCTCCATTTCCTCGGGGAGCGCCTGAGTATTAGGTTTTGCACGTGAATCCATACTTATTTTCGATTGGGATTTCTGCAAGTTGCCCCTCGTATCCCTTCCGGAGTCACAGGGACATGCTGGGGGCCTTGGGGCAAGCTGATCCATCGAGAAAACCGGCCTCAATCTCACCCGCGTCATTCAAGGTCTGCACTTAGGAATAACAGCCTGTAAATCTGGTACGTGATCGGCAGCGTGTGGCTCCATGTGGATGCATACGCGGGGTAGGCCCTGCGGCTCATCCGATGTGATTGGGTGTGTCTCGTAGATGTCTTACACTATGCATTGTGTTCACCTTGGAAGCTGCCTGGTAGAGAGGTGATTGTCTTCAGGCTCCCAAGGTGTCTCACTCATACATAAGTAAGACAGCACTAGCAAGCAAATGGTGGAGTATTTCCTGCCTGTCTGATTGTATTGTTACATCGGCTGATATAATACGCAATTTCTATTTCCAGGACGCATAGCGGAGAAGCTATGAGAAATTCGAATGAATTCGATGGATCATGCTCCGATCTATGCTCTAGTGGTATGGTGGAGGAGGATAAATGGGATTGAGGAAAGACTTAAATACTCTCCTCTATCCCGTCTATTGATACTTTTTCACTATCATCCACGCATTCTACCATACTTCAAACATTATATCTTTCCTTCCTCCAATATCCCGCACAATAACAATCATGCAGCTCACTCAGCTTTTTGTCGCTACCGGCCTCTTCGCCTCCTCTATCATGGCCGCTCCTACTGCCAGCGTTTCCATGATGGCCGCCGGTCCCCAATGGACCATGGAGAACATGAAGCGTACCTGCAACGCCGAGAACACTTCCTGCACCTGGAACTTCGGCATCTACCCCGGCACCGGCGCTGCCACTCCCTGCAACTACGTTGTTAAGGGCAACACTGCCTCCCACGCCAACGGTGGCCCTGTCACCTGCGGGGGATACACCGTCACCTCCGGCTGGAGCGGCCAGTTCGGCGAGGGTGCTGGCTTCACCACCTTTTCCGTTGTCAACAACAACGCCCGCCAAATTATCTGGCCTGCCTACACCGACAAGCAGGTCGAGGGCGGCAAGGTTGTCAAGCCTGACCAGAGCTACGCTCCCGCTGCTCTCCCTTGAATATGATACCAATTTTGAAGCGTAAAGGAAGTCTGAGAGACATAATCTGAAGTCGAACCATATGTATATATTATACACTCTCCTTAATGGAAACCGATTCAAGACTCAATTAGTGATTCAATTTTCAATTCTAATGACAACAGAGGTGGAGGTTTAGAAGGACCTACGGCTTAATGACTGGAAAAACTGAAGGAAACAAGTATTTCAAGCAGTAAAGGATTGAACTTCGTAGAGCACAAACTTGAAATATCCTTGTGCTTTGAAAGCGAAGATCAATCAACACATACTCCGCACTAGTCATGTGAGCAGCCCTGTACAGGGCTGCCAGTGCTGTCCTGTCTAGGGGCCAAAAAGGCTTCCCACAATTTTCATATCCAAGCATCCGAATTTTAATTAAACATCAACATTTCGATCAAAACTAAGCCAGAGTACAAGTAGCCTGAAGTCAAGACCAGCTTAGTTCCCGACCTCCACTTCCCCGGATCGTCCCTCAAGTGCCGAGCATGAGCCCAACACCATTTACAGATCCTCAATCATCGGCAATGTCTCAGAAACAAAAGAAGAAGCACATTCGGGACTGGAAGACCGAGCGGTTTACCGAGACTTCGCGAAGTTGCGCCGGGAAGCCTTTAGCGAAAACCTCATGGTTGGTTGCATGATCCTTACTCGCTAGAATATAGCCGACTAACCTCAACCTCAATACAGGAGTTGACCGAGTTGCTTCCAACGCTGAAGTCAGAGCCGCGTCTATCCAAATATGCCATTGTTGATGCGGGTCTGCTGTGGAACCAGCACCAGATGATCTCAACTGCTACACATCCATCAGATCCAAGCGGCGATATGGTCCCTCGCATGTTGTTGACGATTCTGCGTACTTCTGGACCCAAAAAGCAGAGATTCTGAATGCCACATCGCTTTGAAATGACGGCGTACATTACAAAAGCCCAGACACGACTATCTGGCCTTTGCAACATCTAAGTCTGACTATATTACCAGAGGAGGCCCATCAGATTGCATTGGATCGAATAGAGCAGTTGAAATCTTTGTTTAGCCCGAATACAAAAGCTCTATCTATACCCACGAGGCAAATTGCAGGCAACGATCCAGCAAACTCCTCTGCAATGATGCGCTAAGCACCAAATTGAGCAGCGATTCCATTGAAGAATTAAATCGCCTCCATGGCTTCCTCAATCTTTGCCTAGCTTCTCTTCTCGGCAGCGACAAACAAAGCCAGAGCTTCGCGAAGACATTGCTTGGTAACTGTGTCGGCGTCATTCGTCTTATCCAGCTCAGCACCTTTATTGGCAAGATAATCAATATCAGCTAGGTATTAGACCTATTTCGTCTATCTACTTCAGCGAAGCGTTCCCCTGGTCTCATCGCGAAATGGGCGCGGCGTTCATCATTTGTGTGAACAGTATCATTAAGAGTGTTCTTAGTCTCTTGTTTCCATCGATTCTGGCAAAGATGAGTGCGACCGGTGGTGAGTTTACTCGGCATATCTGAGAATGGATATAGCTGATGTGAACGATCTAGCATTTGGTTTCTACGCTGGCTTGAATATGCTTGCCTTCGTTCTTATTTTCTTTACCGTGTCTGAGACAATGCAAGTTGCCCTCCAAGTATCAATGACCACTAGCTAACATTTTATAGGCAACGCAGTCGTGAAGAACCGGTCCTTACTTTCGGTGTCGCCATCCACCGACATGCCCGCTATCAAGTTGGAACATGGCTGCCCTCAGCGGTATATTTTGATCAGGCCGGCGAAGTTGGAGCCATTGTATAAGCTGGAGGGTTATTAATATTCAATGTTCAAACCTGACTAGTAGTTTTGAGTTAGTAATGTTTGAAGTTCAATATTGCCATACGGGTGGCGATGACTCTGCTATGAGTAAAAATGCGGCGAAACGACATTTTGCCGAACCTTTGACCGAGTCTTGATAATTAGCACAAACTTTTCAAGAATATAAGAAAGATCAACGTAGAACCATTTTTAAACATATATACACAGCATATCATGCCTCTCACATTCGAAGAGCTCCCCCTCCAAGTCGAAGGCGTCAACCTGACCCTTTCAACAATCCACAACCTCAAACCCAACCCAATTCTCTTCCTGCACGGTTTTGGATCCAGCAAAGAAGACCTGGCAGATCTATCTCTGCATCCAGGTCTTACCGAGCATGGCTACATTGCATGCGACGCGCCAGGATGTGGCCACACAGAAAGCGATAACCTCGCCGCCACCGACATCCCTTTCTTAATTGCGACCGCAGAAGCAGTCCTGGACCACTACAAAATCACAAAATTCCATCTCATGGGCCACTCAATGGGTGGACTGACAGCTCTCCTCCTTGCAAACCGCCACCCAGACCGCGTCCTCAGCTTCGTGGATATCAAGGGTAATCTCGCGCCGGAGGATTGCTTCCTCAGTCGGCAGATCTTCCAATTCCCCGATGGGGACGCGGAAGCATTCATGAATTCTTTTATTGAGCGCACGCGTACTTCTGGTGCTTTTGGTAGTGCTATGTATGCCAGTACACTGCGCCATCGTGTTCGTGCTGGTGCTGTTCGGCCTATCTTTGAGTCTATGGTTCAGTTGACGGATTATGGTGATTTGATAGATAAATTTTTGGCTTTGCCTTGTCCGCGTATGTTTATGTTTGGTGAGGAGATGCGTGGATTGTCTTATTTGCCGTTGTTGAAGAAGGAGGGTGTTGAGTTGGCGGATATTGTTGTTTGTGGGCATTTCCCTATGTACTCGAATCCTGTGGAGATGTATCGTCGTATTGCAGATTTCTTGGATCGTGTGTGAAGATTGAATTGTACAAAAGTTGGTGTAGATAGATTTAGATATATACGTCGAGGGTTGTGCTTGCTATCAAGGAGTGTTCACTCAGGCATTAGGAGGCTTTACATGATTTGGTTCTCTGGTTGACGCATTTCTGCCCTAGTTTCTCATAAGACCTTTATTTGTGTTCTTCAATATGTCTTACGGTCTCTGTGAAGATGAGGCTCCTAGCTCTCGCCGTGATTACGCGATGTTTTAGCTTAAGTAGACTTCGGGAGCCTCAAGTCTCAGGTCAGTCACCACATGGAAAGACCCAGTGATCCAAAGATAAAAAGATCAATTTGCTGACTTGCTGCATATGAGATGTCTCACTGTAAATGGACCAACGAAGCAGAGTATGATGCTTGACTTGGTCACCACAGGCTGCTACCAAGGCTCAACCTCCGCTGCCCTGGGACTCGAGGCTAAGGACAGCGACAAAACTCCGATCCAACCGGCTCCAGTAGAGAAGCGCGGGCTTCTTGGTGTTGCACAATATTTGTCAACCATTCAGTAACTTGATGACTGGGACTGGACGTAATGTCCTTGGTAAATGGCTATGGGTTGTTCTGGGCAAATCATTCCTTTCCTCCTCGCTCATCCTTGAATCAAGAATATCATCTAACAGTCTCTTCTGCAGTTCCGATCTACTGAATACTCGCCTGGGTGATAGCAGCAGCAATCCCTCGAATCAGCTACCTAGGCTCATTCTACAAATCTCTTACACCTTGCCGCCATTGCTCTTGGTCAGATACAATGTGCAGAATGATTCAATCCTGCCCGAAGAATAGTTCAATCCACGGGCTGTCCAGACGCAGCTTTTGGACAGTGGACTCAAGCGGTGGATCAGAGGTTAGAAGATGAGATTTGTCTGGAACGCTTTTGACCTTGCTGCGCTCTTAACCGTTGGCTTGGGCATTTGGGCTTCTGTTCATTCTATGAGTAAGGCTTTCAAGGACACTAAGCTGACACATTTTACTTGTGCTAAACCCGTTGGTCAAGCGACTGAAGTCGATGCTGAACTGCGACAGGTCTGGCTTTTCTATTTTCATGTTTGACATTATCCTTTTGTTGCTGTTTTCCTCTGGTGGCTGATTATCCAGCGATTTCTCGATAATGATGATCACTGTGTTATGGATGGGCAGATTAATGGCCGGACAACTGACTAGTCGCAGACGCTTTCTGCTATTGCTGGAGTGATAAAACCCCTTCCTTTTTTATTCTAATTTGTTAATTAATCAATGTTACAGTTCCCCCACGTTATTGACATGGATATCATCATTATAAACAAAGCCCAAGCATCAACTCAATGGTTATGCCTTGGCTCCTCCCACCGCTGCGCAACACGTTGATACTTAAGAGCATCACGCAGAACCATGCCCTCATTCAGCTGACTGGTCTCACGACGGAAGATCTCCTGCCAAGGCGTCTGACTTTCGGGCATAGCAAACCCACCCCGAGCCTTCAACTCCTCACGACGACGCTGCAATTCCTCATCATCAATAAGGATATCAACACGGCGCTTAGTCAAATCAACCCGCGTCCGATCCCCATCACGGAGCAGCGCAATATTTCCTCCAGCCGCCGCTTCAGGGCTTGCATTCAGAATAGATGGCGAGCCTGATGTCCCCGATTGACGCCCATCCCCGATACATGGTAACGAAGTAATCCCCTGTTTCAACAGACGTGCTGGTGGATGCATATTTACCACCTCCGCTGCACCAGGGTATCCCAATGGTCCGGCGCCGCGCATGACAAGGATACTAGTATCATCAATCGGAGTCGCAGGGTCATCGAGTCGATGATGATAATCTTCGGGTCCATCAAAGACCACAACGGCACCTTCGAAAGCGTTCAAATCATTCGGGTTCTCGAGGAACTTTTGTCGGAATGCAGGCGAGATCACGGATGTTTTCATAATTGCCGAGTTGAACAACGTGCCTGTCAAATGCACGAATCCAGCATTGACCATCATAGGCTCGCTATAAGCGTGAATGATCTTTCGATTCCAGGTATGTTGTCCGCGCACGTTTTCTTCCACGGTTTTTCCGTTGCAGGTCAGTGCTTCTGGGCGTAGTTTTCCCGCGTCTAACAGTTCGGCCATGATGGCGGGTAGTCCTCCTGCGCGGAAATACTCCTCGCCTAAGAACTCGCCGGCCGGTTGCATGTTGAGGAGTAGAGGGATGTGAAAGCCGATCTGGTCCCAGTCGTCGAGGGAAAGGTCCACACCAATGTGTTTTGCCATGGCGTTGATATGGATCGGTGCATTAGTGCTTCCGCCAATGGCAGAGTTGGCTACGATAACGTTTTCGAAGGCTGCGCGTGTCATAATATCGCTGGGTTTGCGGTCTGCGTGGACCATTTCGACGATTCGCTCGCCGGTCTCGTAGGCGCATTGGCCGCGCTCTCGGTATGGGGCTGGGATTGCTGCTGAACCGGGTAGAGCCATGCCTAGTGCCTCTGCTAGTGCGTTCATTGTTGATGCTGTGCCCATGGTGTTACAGTGACCCACAGAAGGCGCTCTATAGATGGATCAGTGAATGGTTCTTAGCTTGAATGTTGAAAACATACCCTCGAGCCACATAGTCTATGAACTCTTCTCGGCTCATCTCGCCTGCAGCATACATCTCTCGACCCTTCCAAACTACCATACCTGATCCAGCCAGGTCATTTTTTAGATAGCCATTCAACATAGGGCCAACATTCAAACAAATCGCCGGGATATTCTAATCACATGTTAGCACCACTCACCATAATAGGCAATAGAAACCCCAAGAGAAAGAAACACACCACAGTAGCAGCAGCCATCAACGCAGCGGGCGTAGTCTTATCACATCCAGTCAAAAGCACAACCCCATCCAAAGGATAAGCATGCAAAATCTCTACCAAGCCAAGATACGCCAAATTCCGATCTAGACAAGCAGTCGGCCGTCGTGAACTCTCCTGGATAGGATGTGTAGGAAACTCAAATGCAATGCCCCCAGCACTGCGAATACCCTCGCGCACGCGCTTCGCTAGTTCAAGGTGATGTCGATTACACGGCACGATATCAGAGCCGGACTGCGCGATGCCGATGACTGGTTTTCCGGCCATGAGTTCTTCGCGCGTGAGTCCGTAGTTTAGATATCGTTCGATATATAGCGCTGTCATGCCTGGGTTGTCGTCGTTATTGAACCAGCGTGTTGAGCGTAGTTTGCGATCTTTCCGGGCTTTTGTGTTGTCCTGGACTGATAGTGTTGCTAGTGTTCTTTCTAGGTCCACTGTGCGTTTGCGTAGGGCGAGCAGTTCCGCTTCGCAGTCTTCTATATTTGAGGTTGGGCGCGTGCTGGCGCAGGAACAGCCGGCGCAGGTGGTTTTGGTGTCGCACGGCATGTTTGCGGGGATTATGTCGGGGATTGTTGATTTGTGGGGTTTTATTAGAGGATTATGTTGGTGTTGGCATGCAATTTAGGGGTTGGTGGCCCTGGCAGTATGTTGGGGGATTGTTATTGACGGCGTTGAAGTGATATTCCGGAGTGAAGTGGAAAACTCGTGAGGGTCGATGCCGATTTGGAAGCCGAGAGCCGTAACGGGACCGAACCGCACGGCATCCCACGCCGACAGTTGGGCTTATATTAGGTGGAAGATGTTGCTTTTGATGGGCTATGAGGCTTCTATACTTTCTGCGAAACTGATTACATTACATGAAAGTTCCCAGAAATAGAAAAGGCATAGGGTACAACTTAACAGAACGTCATCTACATCTATAAACCCCCACGCTATCACTCCACACTGATCCACCTCAAGTGGGATGTAGTTCATGCTTTACAAGGTACGGAGTACAATTAGGAGGAATGAAGAGTATTGTATTATTCACATCTCTCTTAGAATGCAGAACCCCAGACGCCGTGTATGCCAGAAGAGCAAATCTACTGAGTAGCGCACTGCGCCGGTTCGTCATCTTCGTCCTCGTCCTCCCATGCGTGTCCATCCTTAGCGCCGAACTCTTCAATGTTGGCCTTGGGGTCATATTCAACCTCGTCAATGTGTTCAGCAGGGATAGGCTTTGCGGGCTTGGGCAGGATTTCCTTGAGCTTCTCGAGCACCGCAGGAGTGGGCTTCCAGTCAGCGCCGGGGAACTTGACATCGACGACCAAGTAGAGATCGCCACGAGCATCACTGCGGTTCAGGGGCATACCCTCTCCGGGAACCTTGAGAACCTGTCCAGGAGAAAGGACCTCGCCAGGGATCTGGGGGTGGTGGATTTCAATACCACGACCATCAAGATGCTTGATCACAACGCGCGAAAGACCGCTCAGGGCTTCGGCCAAAGTGATCTCGATGGTTGCCTGGAGATCGGAGCCAGCACGAGCGAACACGGGGTGCTCTTCCTCGACAATCTTGAAAATAATGTCGCCGGGTTCCTGGTCGGGCACCTGGTCGGTCTCGCCCTCGAGAATAATCTTGTCTCCTTGCCTGATGGAAAGTCAGTATCATCATATATCGCCGAAAAGGGTAAAACTTACTTCGTGCCACGAGGAATGTAAAGTTCCAGCATCTTCTTCTCCTCGTTGACGCGCTCACCCTTGCACTTCTTGCACTTGTCCTTAGGGCTGAAGTAATGACCCTGACCCTTGCAAGTGGTACAGGTCACAGTCTGCTGGGTCAAGAAACCACCCATCTGCTGCAAAATCTCCCTGGCTCCATGGCCATCACAAGTCGAGCACTTTTTAGCGGTAGCCTTCTCCTTTCCGCCCTTGCCCTTGCAATGTCCGCAAATGACGTTCTTGGTGCTGGTGAATCGAACGGTCTTGCCCTTGTAGAGATCCTCCAGGCTGACTTCATAGTCCTGTTCCTCGTTGCGACTCTTGCGGGGCCGGTTAGGGTGACCACCGGGCATACCACCCATGCCTCCCATACCAGGCATACCGCCCATTCCTCCCATTCCGCCGCCAAACATCTGTGCAAGGATATCATCGAGATCGGGGGCGCCTGCCATTCCAGGTTCGCCGGAGCCGTTGAAGGCGGACATGCCGTGAGTGTCGTAAAGGTGGCGCTTGTCGTCATCGTAGAGAATATCGTAGGCTTCCTGGACGGTCTTGAATCGGACTGAAGCTTCCTCGCGCTCAGCTTCGGGAACCTTGTCAGGGTGGTTGGTCAAAGCCGCCTGTGACCCGTGTTAGTATGGTGGGATGTACGGAGTATGAAGCATGAATAGCCTACCTTGCGGTAAGCCTTGCGGATATCATCCTTAGTTGCGCTTGCGTGAATTTCCAAAACCTCTTTTCGATATTAATATTCGCTTCGGCTTGCGCATTAGTTGGGTGTAGCGTGAGCATACCATAGAGGTCGACCTGAGCCGAAGCCACTGTAAACTTCGTTAGCAAGCGCGAACAACGACGCTGGAGCTCAAAACATACTTTTAAGCCGCGTATTTCGAGAAAATACGACCGGATGTTTTTGCGACAAGGGAAAAAGTACAAATCCAACGCAATCAAAAAAGAGAGACGAAGGTGAAGGCAAGTGAGAGGCGGAGTGAATTTCCAACTGAAATTTTGTCGGAAGCTCCGCGCCGAGTCCGCTCCTCCGCAACCGCAACAGCTTTGGAATTTTGCACTATGAGGCCTCCTAGTGGCCTGTTGGCTCGTCGGTACACTTGTATTCAATGCAGAAACTGTTCTACTTCTACTCCAGCCCGCAACGTGAAGAGCAAATTACCGAACGGACCTGCGCGCACGCGTTTCGCTCCCTCTCCTACCGGATACCTTCACCTTGGATCTTTACGGACTGCGCTTTTCAACTATCTGCTTGCCAAGCGCACTGGTGGTCAATTTCTTCTGCGCATTGAGGATACCGACCAGGTTAGTGACGGAGTATACTCTGTATGAACAACAGCTGATTGGGGCAGAAACGGACGATTCCTGGAGCAGAGCAACGGCTATATGACGATCTACACTGGGCTGGGTTGAATTGGGATGAAGGTGAATTGATTTACTCTCAGGAATATAAACAATTGAGTTAACTGGACGTTGGCAGGTCCTATCGTTGGCGGTCCTTATGGTCCCTATAAGCAGGTACAGCATTGCTCCTTCGTTATGAATGCTTAACCCTAACTCGCAACCCTCTTTAGTCCGAACGAACAGCCTTATACCGCTCCCACGCCAACGACCTTATTACGAACGGCCATGCCTACCGGTGTTTCTGCCCTGCAGAACGTCTAGATTCAATCGCCCGCCACCGCAGCTCAGCCGGTCTTCCTCCTGGATATGACCGCAAATGTGTGGACATCTCAGCTGAGGAATCAGAAGATCGCGCAGCGAATGGCGAGTCGCATATTGTGCGATTAAAAATGGAAGGATACCCCATATTCAATGATCTAGTCTATGGCAAGACAGGTCAGAACCGGCCCAACAACAAGAAGCTGGACTTTATCGATCGTGTTTATGATGACCCGGTTATGATCAAATCGGATGGTCATCCCACGTATCACTTGGCCAATGTGGTGGATGATCACCTTATGAAGATTACCCATGTTATCCGAGGAACGGTATGTCAAGTCTTCATCTGAGGCTCTTGAGAAGATGAAGCTGATATTTACAGGAATGGATGCCCTCTACTCCCATGCATATGGCTCTATACAATGCCTTCAAGTGGACTCCCCCGCAGTTCGGTCATGTCCCTCTACTTGTCGAGAAGAGCGGACAAAAGCTCAGCAAGCGAAATGCGGATATTGACCTCTCATCATTCAAGGACAAGCAGGGCGTATTTGCAGCCAGCTTGGTGAACTTTGCTTCCCTTTTAGGCTGGTCTCACTCCCAGAAGTCTGATGTCTTTGACTTGAAGGAGTTGGAGCAGATCGTATGTTCCTATCCCACTAAACCACCGCTCACGATACTAACAATCTCTTTAGTTTAACCTGAAAATCACCCGGGGCAACACTGTTGTCGCTTTTGAAAAGCTCTGGTTCCTTCAAAAGGCCCATGCCCAACGCTTCGCTGCAAGTGGTGGTCCTGAGTTTGACGAAATGGTGAGCAGGGTAAGCTCTGTGGTAGAAACAAACCACCCTCGCGACAATCTGTAAGACTTCTATCAATTCCATGTTCACAATGTCTATTGCAGCCAATACCTAACACTCAACAGCTCCACAATCCTCAAGGGCCGCACCCTCTCCGAATACATTGCGCCACTCATCCGCGCCGATGCAAAGTCCTACACGGACGCCGAGGAGTTCATCCAACGTAACTCAACTTTCTTCACTCCCAAGCTCAACCGAGCCACCTACGCTCCAACCCCATCATCATCCCCATCCCCCCAGGTCCCAATGCAAGCCCTCCACACAGCAGCAGCAGCCCTGACCCTCGTCCCACCCTCCCACTGGAACATTGAAACCCACCGCTTCAACATAACCTCCTATGACGGCTCAGACAGCGTTGTCCTCCCGGAAGTTGATCTAAGCGACACCAATGCACCAGTCCCAGTTTCAAAAGATAAAGTCTTCAAGAAAGAATTGTACCACTACCTCCGTTGGGCGTTGTCTGCTTCAGCTCCTGGCCCGGGTATTCCTGAGACCATGGCTATCCTTGGGAGAGAAGAGACTGTGCGTCGGATTCAGGATGCCAAGGCTTCCACGCAGTCTCTTGTTTCTTCTGTTGGGAGGAGGGTCCCTAAGGGGACATTGCCAGAGGATAAGTCTTGGATGGGGACTCTTGCGTCTGGAAGATGATGGTGATTTGTAAATTGATTAGCATTTCATGTATAATAGATATAGCGAATTGTATTTTATCTCATCTATTCTCCTTTCTTATTGTGCACTGAGTGGGGCTGACCTACTGGGACGAGATTGGAAGAGACTGGCTTGTATACATCAGTTGAGGTAGCTGGCTTGAATACAGCACTGGCTGCGTAGGAGTATATTTCCACCTTTAGAATAGCGCCAAGTGGGCTATTGTGGTGCAGCATGAATGTGAGTTAGGGCAAAGGTAGAAAGCTGGTTTTAGTCACCATGTATAAGAGATATAACGTTAACAGTTAACTTGTAACAAATTATGTTAGACTTGGCCTCGATATACACGATCCACCATCCACCCCCAGGTATCAACATATCTCCAGCTTGACATCATTATATAATATGGGAGCAACTACGAATCCAACACAATGGCCTTAAGTCTTAGTAGCAGAAAGCTTGATAAATGGGATAGAATTAACAACAACTATTCAAACACTGTACTGCGCTGACAAATACATAAAAAAGAAACAAGCCGTGGCAGACGAAAGCAAAAGACCGACCCCAGAAACCGGAGATCGAGGGAATAAAAGAGCCGTGAGCACCGCGCCAAAGAAAGATCATAAGTAACAGAGAAGCGAAGGAAACACCATGCCAAAGTAGCACAAGAAAAGAGAAGATTAAACCCAGTGGAGATTGAAACAGAAAGATCCGTCGATCGCAAGAAGGTGAAGGACAGGAATCCTGGAAGGCTGGAAGGCTGGAAGCTGACACAGTCAGTCGCAGCATTGGGCTCGATAACATCGACAGATGAAGGAGAGCATGAACAAGATTGACATGATAAGTCGTAAGTTTTAACAGGAAGAGAAGTAGGAGACGGCCACTCGGGGAATCATGGTAAAAAAGAAGACACCAGTCCGTATGGAATCTAAAGGAAGCTCGATTGAGGAATATCGAGATGCATCATGAGCCATGAGGCGTGCAGAATCCGGTCGTGGGATCATCAATTCTTTGAATATCCCATGCGCCCGTGGAAGTGAATGTCCACGAAAGTGAAAATCCAAGGAGCAGAGTGCATTATGAGGTGAATTTAGTAAGTCTCGAAGTCATCGGCCCACTCATTATCACTACCTGCGACGCGCAAGACCTGTCCAGGGTGTGGACCATCTGGGCTGACGCTTCGGATGCCCTTGGCCTTCTTTCCCATGAGGTCGGATGAGTCTTCAGGAGCAAAGCGCTTTCCTCCGTGTGCAGCACGTAGCTTGGAGAAGTAAATGTCGCTGGTATCGGGCTCAGCGTCTGAACCATCCTCAAAGGTCTCCCAGTTCTCGGAGCCAGAGGTAGCTGTGTTGACAGTTGAGGCGTTTGAGACCTGGCGGGCAGCAGGAGGAGGAGCTGCATGGCTAAGGTAGGGGTTCGGCCGAGGGAAAGCCTGCATGGAGGAGTTCAAAGACAGCGAGGACTGAGAAGAGTGGGATGAATGAGAGAAGCCAGTGGAGCGTTGGGAGTTGGAGAAGCCAGAGGTGCTCATGAAAGATCGCTGGCGGTCATCGTAGACGTCTTCAGGGCTCACAGGGCGCACATATGCGCTGGACATGGCACTGTTGCAACGAGGCGGATCCATGAGGTGACTGAAGCGGTCTTCTCTGGATTCAACGGTCAATGCACGCATCCTAGGGGGAGGTCCACGAGGAGGCGGCATCTTTCCATTGAGCGTGCTAGATGAGTAGCTGCCGGGCTGGGCACGGCGCTCAGGGGAATTGTTTCCGTGTGGCATGTTTCCCAGGGGGACACGAGCAGGAAGCTTAGAGGGAGAGGTAGCACCAGCCCTGGATGTAGCACCAGCTCGAGATGCGCCATATCCAATGGTGTTGTGCTTAACTGGACCGCTGCTAGTTGGCGTCTTCGTGGCTGAGCGAGGAGGAGGAGGTCCCCTCATGGAGCTACCTGGACGGGAGGGAGGCTGCTGTCTAGCAAAGTTAGACTTGGTAGTGGAGGGAGGAGCGGAAGGAGTCTTGGAGCGTGGGGGAGGCTTGGCGGCGACAGGGGTCAAGGCATCGAGATATCGCTCTCCATGGACGAGGAATGGCCGGCCAAATTCGTCTTCCCAGTGTTCCAACTCTTTGCGGAGATCAGCCTCCAGCTTGGGCAACTCCTTTGCAATTCGTTTACGCAGCTTTTCTTCTCTCAGCAGTTTTCCGGGGTCACGCTTCTCTCCCTTGTTTCCGCGGCCCATGAGACGAGAAGCATCTTGGCTTGAAGTTGCCAGTGCCTCACGATCAGTCAAGAGAGTGCGGTGTCGGTCAATCATCTCCAGTGTCGGGGCACGTTGCTCCTTAAGAGCCTCAAGGCGGTTGATCTCGGCCTCGTGTGCCTCGAGCAGCGCATCGCTGCAGACATCAGAGAATGCCGGGGTGAAATCAAGCATCTCTTCTTCAGAGAAGAAGAGACTATCCCAAAGCTCTTGCAAACGGCAACGGGCATCTTCCACAAACAAGTGGAGGTTCTGTCGCTTGAGCTCATTGAGGCGTGTCAATTCTTCCTCGAGGTCGTTGATAATGCGCAAACCACAGCCACGGTTGGCAGCCAGGAATGCCTTGCGATCAGCGTTATCAACACCAAAGCGATCCCATAGAGATTCCACAGTAGAGCGGAGTTCCTTGATCTTGCGCTCGCGTCCGGCTTTCTGCTCCACCAATTTGTCGCGCTTGGCCATCAGGCTGATGAGGTCGGATTCGTGCAGACCGAGCTGTTCGGGAGATTCGCGATAACATTTGACAATAGTTGAGTCTGTTTGGGCCTGGGGAGTTCCGAGTTCAGCCCAAAGCTTGATCATTTCTTCGCATGCAGATTGAACTTGTGCGACACGGCGGTGGTACTCTTCGTAAACGTGTGTGAACTCTGCGTCCAATGCTGTGACATAAAGTGGCGAAAGGTCGAAGCTTGGGGGTATTGATGAACCTTCTGTGGTAGGGGGAAGTTCAAGTTTAACAAAGGTTGGCTCGAGATGGGAGGAGTAAGATTCAAGTGCGTCAACAAGTTCTATGGCATGTTAGTCAATCACATCAGAATTGCGCACAACCGAACTTACTCTTAACCTGCTCGAAGCGCTCACGGTGGAGCTTGCTCATGGCGTCGTTCTTCTCGCGCAAAAAGGCGATGCACCGGTTGAGCGGGTAGGTAATTTGAAGGTCGTCGCGGTTGAGCTCGAACTGGCCATTGGCCATTTCATCGGTCAAAGATGACTCCATCTGGGTAATTTGTGTAATTAGGCGCTGAGCCTCGATTGTCATCTCTTCTCGTTCACTATAAAAATGGTTAGCTAGGATGGCGCGATTTGTTGACAATTTCAACTTACTCGTCAACGACTTTGAGATGATTGTTAAGGGTCTCAGACAAAGCGCTAAACAGCTATATCAATTCATTAGTCATGCGATCATAATGCACTCATAATATCTAGCTCACCTCTGCTTCGCGGTTTTCGCGCTCGCGGGGAGGGACTCCGATTTCATCATAGATGCCATGGAGCTGCTCGACGATATTGTTGACCTGAGTGGTTAGGTAGCTGGTATCAACAGCCATTTTAAAAGAAAAGGGCCCTTCAAGAGGGTAACAAGAGTCGGAAGATGTCAAGGAGAGGTATCCAATCCGACAAATTGCCGAGCGGGTCTGCGACAACGACCAATGTCGGAATCAAAACAAGAGAGCCACGCACAAGGTTCTCAGCACACAAGGTGCGACGGAGAATAAACGAAAGTGGAAATGAGCAAGAGCTGTTAGTGGAGAGGCATTGAAGTATGCAGATGCAATGTTTATGAGGGGGGAAAGGGAAGGGCTGAATCGGCGATAACATCAAGTTTCCCACGCGTGTTTGGCCCAGATCGTTGTCACGGGTAACCGCTGACTCATCTCAGCTGAGGTGCGCACACCGCCCGATACTGCCAGTCATCTACCCCACCGCTCTCTTCATCACTTGCATTGGACTTCTTTATCTTGACTTCCTTGCAGTATCACCCTTGCTGCTTTTTCTTTGGTTCTTCAATAATTCCCCTGATCTTCGAATATCTAACCAATTTATTGCAAAAATGCAGGCTGCCCAGCAGTCCTGGGGTAAGTGCATCCATATCCATACAGTCGATTACGAACTGACCAAGCTCCCCCACACAGAGCTCGAGAACGCGATAACCGTCTTCGACCCGCAACGCGATGCTCTCTACCAATATGACGAAGCCACACAGAAACAGCTCAATGCCGAACGACCATGGGCCTCTGACCCCTACTATTTCAAGCACGTCCGGGTCTCCGCAACAGCACTATTGAAGATGGTGATGCACGCCCGCTCCGGCGGCTCACTGGAAGTGATGGGTCTAATGCAAGGCTATATCCTACCAAACACCTTCGTGGTGACAGACGCATTCCGGCTACCGGTCGAAGGCACCGAAACCCGGGTCAATGCGCAAGACGAGGCGAACGAGTACATGGTGTCATATCTGCAATCGTGTCGGGATGCAGGGCGGATGGAAAATGCTGTTGGGTGGTATCACAGTCATCCCGGATATGGATGCTGGCTATCGGGTATTGATGTGGCTACGCAGCAAACGCAGCAAATGACGGGGCCGTTCGTTGCTGTTGTTATTGACCCCGAACGTACCATCTCCGCTGGTCGTGTTGAAATCGGTGCTTTCAGGACTTTCCCTGAGAATTTCACTCCGTCCAAGGAGGCTCATGAGGATGATGAATATCAAACTATCCCGCTTGGCAAGGCGGAGGACTTTGGCGCGCATGCCAACTCATACTATTCGCTTGACGTTAGCCATTTCAAGAGTACGCTCGATGCGGAAATATTAACTCTCTTGTGGAACAAGTACTGGGTTGCAACTCTCAGTCAAAGTCCGCTGTTCACCTCACGCGATTTCGGCAATAAGCAGATGCTGGATCTCGGTCAGAAGGTGCGCAAAGCTGCGCGTGGAATGGAGAGCACCGGACCTCGGACTACTGGCACTGCGACCAAGGACCAGCAATTGGACAAGGTTGTTCGTGGTGGACAGCGCATTGTCGCAGAAGAAGCCAAGGGTCTACTAGCGTCGGAAGTGAAGATGAAACTCTTCCACAGCGTTGGAGGTAAGCCCTCTTCGACAGCCTGATCCGACTTTTAATGTATCTTAGCCAATAGATGTTGACATGACCGGCACTCTTCTTCTTTCAAATGGTGTCATTGGCGCTCAGCGGGTTGATATTTCCTTGCTACCTCGCTGGCATTTGGGTCGACAGGCCTTGCTATGTCCAGCGGCCTCTGCAATGAATCATGATCATAGAGTATCTACACCAGCAGCTTCTACAAATGAACGAACCTCATGACCTGATTTTTAAATTCTTTCCAGGACATGGAGATAAACCCTAAAAGAATAGGACACCAGCTTCCAACCCAATTCCGAAAATTCTAGAAGTAATGTGACAAGTCTCCCTGGATGCGAACAAAAAGATATCATAATCAACTTCTATTGACTCGGAAATTAAATTCCAGGAAAAGATCACATGGTTAGTAGGACACAATAGATACAAAGAAGTAGTAGAGACAACAATCCGGCTCAAGTCCTAGTAACACAAATCCAAACAACAATATGAATGCGAATGTAAATGTGCAAACCCACCAAGACAAGAACCCAGAAAATGATATCAAGTCGGTCGTGACAGAACATTATTCAGAAGACGGCGTCGAGGACATTAACCTGATGTGAAGAAAATAAGGACAAGAAACCAAAAAAAGGTAAGCCGATCGCCTCATCTCGGCGACGATACACAACACGGAGGGGAATATGATATGAGAAGGAGAATGAAACGTGTAGAAAGAAAAGAAGGTAGAAAGGAAATGCGAAGAGAAGGTGTAGAGGTCAGAAAGCAAAAATATACACCGAAGGATACTGCATGGGTCAGGGTATGACACGGCAGTGAGGTTAGGGTATGGATAGGTTGTGGTATGATGAGGTCGGAGGCGCGTCGGAGCCCCGGCGCGCCCTCGGGTTGAAAGTCTCGGGTGTGATAAATAACAAAGAAAAAGTAAAAGGAGCCCAGCGAATCAGAGAGGTCTATGTTGTGGAAGTGGTATCAGGTATAGTAATACTTATCGAGGACCGGAAATGAAAAGCATTGTCGGTGGAATGAAAAGGAGCGAAGAAAGAAATGGAAATGAGGTTGGTGATGTTGGTTTTGGTATGGTGGTGAACTGCCGCAATAAAGAAAGCCCATTGGAATGGCGGATACCATATGCGGATCATTTGGAATCATTGGCATGCAAATGATAGATCTGACTGCAGGTATCCATCATAGTCCCCGCGGAAGGGTTCCGAGAGGTGAGGAGGGCTCGAAGTGGAGACTAGAATAGTCACTCGGGTCAAAGAAAGCCCCAAAAGGGGAACGACACGGCCCGTGTTTATCAAAAAGCTGTAAGACTGTGGCCGTGGAGTGGGCGCCGGTGTGGCCGGTGTCGAATAGGCGAATGGCGGAGTTGTCGAACCTGCTTGGTGGCGCACCCGCAGATGTACCTTGACAGGGATGTTGGCCGGTTACAGGAAACCGGATTCAGATAGCAATCTACGAGATTTCACAAAAAAAGAGGTTAGTCTCAACAGCCGAAACAGGTTTGAGAAAATGAAAAATAGCAGTTGTCTTCTTGCCCAAAAAGGGAGTAAGAGGTCAAATTTGGGTATCGGTGGGCAAATGCCAAACGCCACTTAAAAGAACACCAGATGGTTCATCGCAAAATTGCGACAGTAGATGCAAATAACAAGGAGCCCTTGTCTCGGCTCGAACTTTCAGCATACCTTGCAATCTTTTCGTCCTCGCGCTCCCTAGGCTCGATTTCCAAACTCCGTTCATACATGTCGTGTACGTCGCCAGCACCTTGGAGGTTGCTGAGAATATAGTCCTGGAGCTCACCAACTGGTTGGAGCAGGTAAGGGACGTTTTGGTATTGTTGAATATCCCGAATGACTTCTGCGGTCTTGGCCCGCTTGTTGAAGTTGATCAATTCGGATGGTGTAAGCGAAGGAATACCATCTTCAATGAAGGTCAAATCCGTAAGATAAACACCTAGGCTGGGTTAGTTTCAAATCAAAGGGCTAGAAAACTCCAAGTGAGACAATCTCTTCGTGGCTGTGATTCATACCAAAGAATGGAATACAGGGCGGGTTAGCGAGATGCAGGGTCTCTCGGTATTCGCCAAAGTTCTTCGTACTAGCCATAAGCCGGCGCATCTGTTCCAGAATGGCGGACGTGCGTCCGCTGACCTGGCCCCATGTCCGGCCCAGACGATGAATGGGTGCGGTTCCAAGGGCCGAGATGATGGATGTGAGTGTGGAGTAATTGTTCAGAGCGCGACATTTCTATCGAATTGGTTAGTAAATGGTTGTTAGGCATTAATTAAAGCGCCACCTACATCAGCCACATTCACAAAGTGCTTGATGACCACAACACGCTTCTTGACATCGCCTTGTGTCAGGATCATTTCAGCAACCCAGTTAGTAAGCTGGTTAGAGTGGAGAATCAAAGCCTTGACATTAGGAGAAGGCTCTGGCTCATCAGGGCCAACTTTCTTCTGCCATGTCTTGTTCAAACACTCGGTGGGACGAATTTTAGAGTAAAGGCGCGACTCAATAATGGTCAGCTGCCGAGCAAACTCTGTGGGATCAATGTCGAGGAACTTCAGCTTCTTCATGTTCTTGGGAATGATTGGGGGTGGTGCAGCGTTGCTCTGGGTAGGAACAAGGCGCTTGACAGTAGTATCTTGTCCACGGAGTCGCTGTTCGATCACCGCCAGTAATGTGGGAGTACCAGGTGTCTTGGTGGTAGCAATAGAGTCGCTGGTGAATGTATGGACTCGCCGCAGGAGATCCATGTTCACCTCGTCATTAGGTTCCATCCAAAAGTGATCAAACCAACTCTTGAGGATGTTTACAACACGGAATCGAATCGGCTTCTGTTTCCGATCGATCCACATTTGCATGTCATCTTGATTCAAACCGAATGGAGGTTGAACGTTGAAACGCTGGATAAGCATCTCAAATAGTTCAGAGGCAGTGGTGAAGGAGCGATATGTGAGGAGAAAGGTGTTGTTGAAGGATGCATCAAGCTTGTCGTGACGGGTGAGGTGTTCAACCAGTCCAGCCAAGGTTCCGCATTTGAGGATTGGCGAGTCTCCCTTGGTATCGTAGAATACTTCGCCTTCGTGGGCCATCTTGAGAAACCAGGGTGTCTCCTCCGGCTCGCGGACTGGCTCCCGAATTGGTGGCTCTCGGGTAATAGCTGTAGGCGGTGCCTGGCCAAAGAATCGCTGAGCCTTGTCCATATTTCTTCGAACCTTGTGTTCACCATCGTTTTCTGGTGCGTAGGAGGACGGGATGCCAATTGACTCTGAAGCAATCTTGGCCTGGGACTCGCCGCGGTTATGTGTGTTCTTGTATGCCTCATCTTCTCCGCCTTGGCGACTTTCACTTCGCGAACTGGGCTCTGGCTCGGAGGGAATCTGCTCGAGGAGCAGTGACAACGAGAAACTGATCTGGGAGACGTAGTTCTCCAGTTGTCTAGCGATGCCTCGCACTGCGTTCACCCGATCGTCAAGCGAATCGCCACGGAGCTCAGCCCACTCATCAGCAAGAGGGGCAGAGATCGCTTGACAGTTGAGAACAAAGTCACCAATAGCATCGTAGACCCTTTGCTTTTGTAGGCTGAAATCTACCAGCTGTGGGTTCTGGAAGCTAGTTCCTAGGGGTGCCAAGTTCATCGACTCAACGGAGGAGATCCATGGACGGAACTGTTCAATGACCTTAATGGCAGCAGCCGAAATTGCATCCGCAATGTCAGCATGTTCATCCGCTGTAACGATCTTCCGGTTGATCACCAATCGTTCTTCCAGTCGACGAATACTGCCAACAAATGATCTCCGAAGTATATCGATCGAATCCAGGAAAGCCATATCAAGAGGGACTGAAGGCTCTGCTCGCGAATCTCCTCCATCAGGCACAAGGAACGATGTCGGGCCAGAAGTACTCAGTGAAACACCGTTGTTCTGCCAGCTACCACCGGAAGAACTACCGCTGACGAAACCAGGAACAACACGATAAATGGAATCTCCCCGCTGCTGTTGAGCCACATCCACGTAGCCATATACACCCTGCATGACTCCCTCAGCTTCCTGCAGGCACTTATTGACCGAGTCGGCGCCAGGCCAGTCAGCAGCGGCAATATGTGATGACAAAACCAGCTTGGAGAACTTGGACATCATGTCCCGAAAGTAGGGGTACAGAGCCTTGTTTGTGGAGATAATGGATGGGTTGCCGGAATGGTTGTCCGTTGTGTCAGACCCAGCAGCCAGCAGCATGCGAAGATGGTCGGAAATGTCCTCAGCCTTTCGTACATACTCCGCACGCTCACCATTGCGTAAGGTCTGGCGATAGGCCTCAACTGCATATCGCATATTATCCACAAGCAGGGGCCAGGTGATTGGCGGCGCGAAACCATCATCGACAAAGTGTTGAGGGAAATTGGAAGAAATAGAAGGTCTAGAGAAGCTCTCCGTAACAGAGGTGCTGGTACTGTTACCTCCAAGGCTGTATGTCGTTTGTAGGGCGTGTTTCATCGGCTGTGAACCCTTCAGGTCTTTGCCGGGTGGGTACAAGGAATCCATAGACGTCGCGGGGGAGACACCATCGATCAAGGACTGACGTCGGCGAGACATCGAGTCGTGCGATGCCAACATCAACGACTCTCCTTCCGCCTCCGATGCAGACCCGTCGTACTCGTCCTCGTCGCGTTCAAAGCCGCGCGCCATTAATTCAGGAGGTGGCCGTGTCTGATCAGGGACAAAGAAGTTGTTTCGGTCTCGAGGGCCAGTTTCTGTGTTCCCCGTGGGATTTTCGAAAGGAAGCTCCATGGTAGAATATCCGGTAAGAGTGTTGAAATAGAAAAGACGACCGTCGGGGGTCGCCTGAGGGATCCAAAATGCGGCTTCTTCTTGTTCCTTGGGTGCTGGTATACCCTCAATAGGAAGCATAGGTTGCGAGTCCCGGTTATTTCCTTCCGATTCCACCTCATCCTCTTCTTGTCCGTCGCCATATTCGTCCTCGAGGCCCGAGTCCGCGCTGAGATC